GGTGAGGTTGTGGAGAAAGGGGAACCCTCCTACACTGCTGGTGGGAATGTAAATTAGTCCAACCATTGTGGAAAGCAGTATGGAGGTTCCTCAAAAAGCTCAAAATAGAAATACCATTTGACCCAGGAATTCCACTTCTAGGAATTTACCCTAAGAATACAGCAGCCCAGTTTGAAAAAGAGAAATGTACCCTTATGTTTATCGCAGTACTTTTTACAATAGCCAAGAAATGGAAGCAACCTAAGTGTCCATCAGTAGATGAATGGATAAAAGAAGATGTGGTACATATACACAATGGAATATTATTCAGCCCTAAGAAGAAAACAAATCCTACCATTTGCGGCAACATGGATGGGGCTGGAGGGTATTATGCTCAGTGAAGTGGGCCAGGCAGAGAAAGACAAGTACCAAATGATTTCACTCATATGTGGAGTATGAGAACAAAGAAAAATATGAAGGAACAAAACAGCAGCATAATCACAGAACCCAAGAATTGACTAACAGTTACCAAAGGGAAAGGGACTGAGGAGGATGGGTGGGAAGGGAGGGATAAGGGGGGTGGAGAAAGGGGGCATTATGATTAGCATGTATAATGTGGGTGTGGGCACGGGGAGGGCTGCCAGCATGAAGAGGACAGGTTGATTCTACAGCATCTTACTACACTGATGGACAGTGACTGCAATGGGGTATATGGAGGGAACTTGGTGATGGGGGGATTCAAGTAAACATAATGTTCCTCATGTAATTGTAGATTAATGATACCAAAAATAAAAATGTACTATGCAAAGAAAAGGGGTCACTGTGGCCCCCAGGAGGGCCCTCTCTGTCTCACATGAATAGGGGATAGGGTGGCGGTAGGGCAGCTGGGTTAACCCCTTCAAGGGTTGACACCTCCTGCCTACAACCAAGTGTCAGCTTTCCACAGTGAGGGTGGCAGGGACCCCTGGGCCCAGAGATCCAGGACTCACCTTCAGAGAAGGTCGATGCATCAGTGCTACATGCCACACCAGTCAGCAGATGGCCTCCCTCCCAGCTGGGTAACCTGCTTACATCTGCGAGAGAGCAGAGTGGCAGCATCCGCAGCCCCTCTATTCAGTCATCAGACATTTCCTGAGAAGCTCCAGGGATCAGGCCCCAGCTGCCTCCAGAGATGAGAGATTTAAAAACCAACACAACAGTCTCTGCTCTCAATGGGCTGGGATAAAGGGTGAGGGGAAGTACACGGGATGTATGAGCAACAGCTGATGACAGCAATGTGATACAGACACTGGGGGTGGGCAGATGGTGGGTAGGAAGGCCGTGGGAACACAGAACTAGGACACCACTGAGAACGGGGGGTGGGGAATGGGAAATAGTATTTGGAAGAAACATAATAGGAGCTGAACCTAGAGAAATGAATAGGAACCAGACTCTGAACAAGAAGGGACAGTTTCAGGAATTGTGTCAGGGTGTGTGAAGCCTGGCCAAAGGGTGCCCAGAGCAGAACAACTGGGACAGCAGCTCCATCAGCAGCCACACAGTAGAGTCTGCCACTTTTCTTCCCACAATTAGCTTTGCCATTTGGGGCTTCCAAGCAGAGTCCTGCTTAAGGAAGGGAAGCAATTGCTTGGGGACATAAGCTGGGCCTTCAGTGGCACTTGGTCATCCTTCTACAGGTCCTTGATCAGCTCCTGTTCTCCACAGCATGGTATGAATGAATGGACTCCAAGCACTTTGCTGGTAACTCCTACCCTGCTGCTATTCCTCTTAGCAAATCATTTCACCAGCATGATCTGTGGCTGCTCCTACCTTCATCAACTCTCCTCCTGCCTGGGGAAGTGTCCGTCCTTCCCCTGACCACAGCACCTGAACTCTAGGTCTCAGTCAGAATTTTCACAACCTCCCGTTTTTTTTTTCCCCTGCAGTCTATGGACATCTTTAAAACAAAACATTCTATGAACTCTGCTTTTCCCTCGACCACTGCATATCCCACCTCTCTTACTTTTCAGTCTAATTCACTCATTCATTTAACAGATGTATTGGATAGCTTCTCTAGACACCAGGGAAGGAGGCCCAGTCCCTACCTTCAGTGAGCTCAGAGTCTCCACCTCTCCCTCCTACTCCAGCCACTGCAATGTGGCAGCCACCAGGACCCGTCTATCAGAAGAGTCTAGGCAAAGGCCACCAAGGACTTCTGAAAAGCCAAACCTGGTGGCCTTTTCATTTCATTTCACTTGACCCTGTTGACCGATAGCCTCTTTCTTCTTCAAACTCTGTTCCTTTGACTCCCATGTCAGACATCTCTCGTCTCATCTTTTCCTTCTCTGACTAGCTCTTTAGTTCTTTCCTAACAGCTTTACTGTCTCTTCTCCCTCTGCTGCACCCCATAAATTGATTACTAGAGTTCTCTCTTTGGCTTCTTTCTCAGAAGATTCTACAGGCTTGTCTTGGATAATGTCAGCCACTTCATGGTTTCAACATCCCCCAATGAAATGACTTAAATCTGGATTTCCAAGCCAGACTGCTTTCGTGAGCACACAGCTAGTATCCTCTTGGATATTCCCCAAATCCTAGACCAGCATGTTCCACAGAAACCTATCATCTTCTCCCTGCCCTCCACAAACCCCCTCCTCCTGTAATCTCCCATCTCAGAGAACATCAGACACCTCAGCTGGAAAATGAAGGACTATCCCTTACTTTACACCAACTTGATGACCAAGTCTTGGCATCCTTACCTGCCCGAGTCTGCCTGTGTTGGTTCAGACCTTCGTTGTCTCTAACGGAGACAGCTGCAGTAGCCTCCTGCCTGGCCTCCGGCCTCCTGCCTCATTACGCTCATACCGTCCTCACAATGCAGCCAAACTGGGTTTTCTAGATTGTTAACTGGCCCACTATGTTCCTCCTCTTCAACAGGCTTCAGGATGAGGTGCAAACTCCTTATCATGACATAACTGGCCCCTCAGGACCCAGGCCCCAGTTCCCTCCTTAGTTCTCACTTCCTCTTACCCATCCTTCTCTCCTTCCACTCCTCCCCTTTTCCGTTCCTCCTCTCCTGCCTCTCATTCCCCAGAAACACCTGGTCATCTTGGGAGGAACAATGATATCCAAGTAGAACTGGTTACACATGTCTTGTTCCCCTTTTCCCAGCCATAGTACTTCATGTGTTTACTTGATAGGAATTTGGGAAAAGGCCCATTTTCATCTGCCTCTGTATCTACAGATCCTGGGATGTGCAAAGTGCTCAGTAAATGTTGGTTGGTTGAATGAATGCATGAGTAGAACAAAATAATCCCCCTATTGGAACCATAAAGCAACAATGGCACTGCAGATTCTACCCGGGGTTCAGGCCTAGGGACTTTTCTAAGGAAAGATATTGACCCAGGATGAGCATCTTCCCAATGTCAGGCATGGTGCCAGGCTTTTAAAATATGTCATTCTAAATCTTCACCACAACCCACTCTACAGATGGAGACAGATTTGTGATAAGTAATTTGTCCAAAGACACAAGTTATCTAATAGGTGGCAGAAGTAGATCACGGAGTTCAAACCCAGTCTTCCTGGCTCCATAGCCTGTGCTCTTTCAGCCCTGTTTACTTGGGGATCCTATCTAAACTTGTCTTGCCAGCTATCACTTCCTACTTTACCTGCTTTTCAATTCTAACACAACCAATTCCTCATCCTCTGGTTCTACTCAATCCTGACTTCACAGCCTTCCTTATCCAACCTGGACCCTGAAGTCAGGCCAGAGGGCCTGAGTCAGAGTCAGGATTCAAATTCTGCTTTATCTGACTCCACTGTTCTTGCTCTCTCTAGAGTCACCATGAGAGGGGCTTGTATGCAGGGTCCACTGATTAACACTCCCCAAAGCCCCAAGAAGCCTTGACAGTCATAACTCTGTTCACCAAGGGGAGGGATTTAGTAACTCTACTCAGATATGAGGAAGGCAGTCTGCTCTCTAGTTTCAGACAGAATGAGAGCTCCAACTGACCAGCTGTCCAGAGCTCCTGCAGCAGAAATGATTAAGTTTGAATATAAGGGGCACTTCATAATGACTGAGAAGAGAAGGAGCTTGAAAGGAAGGAGACGGCTTGTGGTCTCTCTTCTTATAGGACATAAATCGGGGCACAGGAACCTCACTCAGAACTCACAGGTGATGCTCATTTGCAAAGAATTCTGCCAGTCCTGTGGGCCAAGGAGCTTCCACTGCCCTTGCGGTACAAGGGATAGGGTTCCGGGTTGGGCACCAAAGCAGCTGAACGGGAGCGGAGGAGTTAGTGGGGGAGGGAGGGGAAAAAGGAAGGGAGGGAGTAACCAAGGAAGGGAATAAGGGGAGAGTAGGGAGCAAGGCAGGGCAGTGTGCACGCGTCTCCTTGGAAATACCGCCCGGCCTCGCCCATATCTAGAGGCGATTGTGATGTCACTCGTGGAACTTCCTGACTCCTTCCTGCCCTCCGAGTAAATGGAACCAACCTCCCAAGCCCCGATGACTGGGTGGGTGCTGGACCTTGGGCGGCGGCCCGGGCCCCCCGCTGCCGCACAGCGATGCTTCCAGTTCTAGAGCCAGGAGTTGGCACCTCTGGCTCAGCAGGACTGCCCCAGCCGTCCCAGGCGCCAGTCCTCAATCATTGGTCCACGGCTCGGCGGGAGCCCGCCCCTAGGCCCTAACTCCGCCCCAGCCCAGCCCTCGGCCCCGCCTCCCCCGTCAAGTCTTCGGGGAGGCCAGCCCCGGTGCCACGCCCCCAGCTCGAAGCCCGCCCTTAATTTGCCCAGCTCCCTTCTTACCGCTGCTATTTTCCTCCCAGGTGTTGGCATTGTCTTCAGTCTTTTCCTTAGTCCACCTTTGAATACTCATTGTCGTCCTGACCCACATCGTCCTAAGCCCGTTGGTCTCTACAAGCCTATTTGTTGCAAAAGTCCAACCCTGAACCTCAACTTGGCCGAACCAACCGCAAACCCAGTCTCAGCTCTGCCCTAGCTCAGGCCTTAACTCCGCCTCATGCTTGCCCAAACCCTTCACCCCCAGCCCCTCCCTCTCTAGGCTACTTTGTCTTCTCAGCCCAAGTCTAAACTTCAGCCGCGCTCTTCATCCGAGGTTTCCCAGTTCCTTCTTGGTTCCTCTTTGTCCCAGCAGGACACCTTTAAACCTTAGTACCTCCCCTTTCTCTCTAAACCTTAGCTCGGCCGCTCAGGCCCAGCCCTCAGACCCCTCCCTAGTTCCTCTCCAAACCTTACCCCCAGCTCCCACACACCCCACCCCGCCGAGTCCAGGCCCGCCCCCAGCCCCATTTGAGCCCCGCCCAGGGCATTCTCTCAAGCTCACGCCTGGGCCCGGGCCCCTCCCTACCTTTCGGAACCCCTCGCGCCTGTTAGCCCCGCCCCCAATCAGGGCGGACGGTACCGCTTCGAGCTCCCCCGCCACGCCCCCGCCTTCTCAGCGTTTCTTAGGTCCCACCAGGTTTGGTTGGGGGCCGGGTTCCCTGTCTACCCACAGGCCTCTTTGCAAGAGGCAGGGGCCTAGCTCTCGGATGAGGACAAGCTGTCGACACCTCCCAACGTTCCCTCCAAGCCCCCATGGGGCGCCCTGCCCCAGGGAAAATACCGCCCAACAAAGATGTCGACATACAGCCAGAATCTTAGATATGCTTCACCCAAAGAGTTATTATAACACATCTTTTTTTTTAAGAGGGAAAAGTGTTTAATATTTTTTTCAATTTAATTCATTATGTTTCAAAATGTCAAAAGATGCTATTCATAATTTTAAGTTTGTATTACTAATATGGTTAGTATTCTTCCGAATAAGAGCCAGCCCCTACTGTCCCTGGGTCTTCTGGTCAACCCAAAATGCATTCAAAGCTCAATCTCACTGTGTTCCCCTCATTTTTTAAAGAGAGGAAGGAAAAGAGTGAAAAAAAGAAAGAAAGCAATGGTAGTATCCATTGGTAGAAATTTGGGAAAAGGCACCAAGTAGGAGGACACAGTTGGGGGAAGGAACCAAAGGAAAGGGCTCTCAAAGCCAACCATTCAGATCTCACTCCGTGAAGGTCCATTGCAGGCCCCCAAACCTGGTCCCTGAGCTTCCTCCTTCCTGAGCCCTGCCCAGGGGCCAAGGACTGCCAGAATCCCAGCAGAAGTCTCCAGTCCCAAGATAGCCATACACCCCTGCCCATCCCCAACAAAGGACTCCAGCCTCCAAACTGCTAATAGAGACTTTAATGGATAAGGCACAGTGTGAGGCTGGGGTTATTAAGTATCCACATACCCAAAGGGCCCCAGCAGGCTGAGCAAAAGCAGTAAGGACCACCTCCCCACGCCAGGCACCCTTGCAACCCCCTGCATGGGGGGGGCATCCAGTTTTTGGCATGGTGTCTGGGGGCAGGAAGTAACTAGCATGCATGGTCTCAGCTACTCTGGGAGTCCTGCCACCAACAGGCAGCTCTTTGGTCTGGAAAAACAATCAGTGCAAATGTCCAGGGGTCAAGCTCTGGAGAAGTCAACATGACACAGTGCCCCAGGGCTGGGCAGTCTCTGGACAGTCCCCTTACCCTCAGGGGCAACATGTGGGCGTCTTCTTGCTGGCAGTTATATAGAGGTTGCTGTCATCACTGTTGATGCCTGAAGAAGGGTAGGAAATACGTGAAGCAGGGATTAGAGGTTCCCCTAGGTGCTCTCTGCCACCCTCATCCAGATGGGCACTCACGGACAACATCCCCAATGCGCCGGGCCCCTGATTTCTCCAGCTCAGCCAGCACGTTGGCCTCAAAGGTCAATGCTGCCACACGGAAGAAGAATTCCCGGACATTTTCACCTGACACAGGGACCAGAAGGGTGCTCTGGGGCAATTCCAAGCCTGGGGTCATTGGGCACAGCTGAAGAGGTAGGAGTGAGAGGCCAGGTAAGCAGGAATGCCACAGCAGAAGGCCCAAAGCCTCTGACTCACCAGTGAGAGATGAGACTGCCCAGTACTCAGCCTTCATCTCGTGGGCCACCTTGAGTGCATCTTTCTCCATTAGTGCATACTGAGCAGGAGTCTGAGGGAAAGTCAGAGTCAAATGGGGGGTTCCCTCAACAAGTTGGGGAGTTCCCCCCTGGAACACTCACACTCAGGTCCTTCTTGGAACCCACGAGGAAGAGAAGCACACTGGAAGGGTCGTTCTCCTTGAGTGCATCAGCTAGCCACTGCCTGCCACAGATGGTGGACAGTGAGCGGGGAGTGAGCTGGACTGGCTCCTCTGCTCATGCTCCTATATCCATTTACCCTCTCTCTGGTCGCAGATGCATTCTTCTCCTTCCCTACCACGCCGAAAAACCACTCCTCTTCTAAACCCTCTCTTCCCTGAGCCCCCATTATAGTTCAGCAACCCCACATACTTGGTATGATCCAAGGAGGCCACATCATTCAGGTTGAAGACAATGATTATGGCTGGAAGAGTGTCAAAAACAACCCCAGGTTGCAGGGAAGACACTACTACTAGCTCTGCCACAATCCCCCCTGCCCTGGATTAGGGGTTGGAGCACCCACTTCACCCACTTCACCCAGACCCTTACCTTGAGCTCCTCGGTAGTAGGTTGATGCAATACATTTGAACCTCTCCTGTCCAGCAGTATCCCAGCTGGGAGGAAGGAGGGGGTGAAACACAGGTATGGGGGCAGGGGAGCCAGGAGATGAGGTATATAGGTGCTGGGGGGAGGGTTGGCTGAAAGGGGTTGAGAAGCACTCACAGCTGCAGACTGAAGGGGATGCCCAACACCTCAAATCGTTCCATCTCAAAGTCTACTCCAATGGTGGCCTTGTAATTCTTATCAAAGGTGTCTTTGCAGAACCTGAGGGCACACAGATGCTCTGGCCCTGAGCCCAGCCCACCTGGCTAGGCCTGGCTTCACCCTGTCCAGCCCAACCCAGGTCAGCTCCAGTACCCTCTTACCTATTAATGAGACAAGTCTTCCCCACCGATAGATCCCCCACCACAATGACCTTGGAGATCTTAAATCTGCTGGACACAAGAGTGGGCAGGAGAAGTGGGTACTAGCTCTTCACCCTAGGAATCTAATGCTCCCTACTAGATCCACCAAGTTAGCTACACCAAGGTTAAGGTTACTACAGATACCGGGCCCCCCAGGCAGATTGCCTGGACAGATGTGCTCAGGACTGGTTTTGTGCTTCAATATCAGAGACATGAATGTGAAGCCTACGTGTTACACTTATTAGCTGTGTGACTTAGGACAAGTTATTTAGCCTCTCTGGGCCTGAGTTTCAACAAGTGTTAAGTGGAAATTTAGTATATATTTTATGGGGTTGTTGTGAAGGTTAAAATGAGGTAAAATGTCCTACATTTTGAGTCCTATCTCCCCCCCACACACATTTTAACATCTCTGGGGATGTTTAAAGGACACATCTTAAAAGTGATAGTGTTTTCCAGGCAATAATAGACACTAATAGTACCCCACATATTATTCAGCACACGGTAAATGCTCAATTAATGGTGGTATCAGTTACTACTATTTTTTTTACCGACAATGGGCCTCATCCTGTAGGCACAACCCGTGCCCAGGGGGTCAAATAGATGGAGGTGAGAAGATGAGCAGGAGACTACCCCAATGTTGGATACCATCTCAAACTGACATTCCACTCATCTCAAAGGACTCACCACAACCTTGCTAGGAAGAAAGGGGAGAACACCCGGGCATAAAAAGGGGGAATAATCATAACGCTGGGGGAGGCTAAAATGGAGCCCCAGAGGCATGGCTGTGTACCCTGGCTATGACTACGGGGTTTCCTGGAACTTGTTTTCTTTGTTCAGGTGTCTTAAACTTACCCCACGGTGCCTGTCCGGCGCTCCTGGCAAGCACAGGCGACGCGGGGGTTGAAGTCCTTATGCACGTGCAAAGCGGCCTCCTTCCTCAGGCACTGAGAGGGCCAGAAGAGAATGGGACTCACCCACTCCTGGCCCAAGTCCCGCAGCGGAGCAGCCCCGGGCTGGGGGGTGGGGAGGGGACCACCCCGATGCAGCAGGCCTCGCAGGGAGGCAGGGCTGCGCCCAAGCCTCTTACTGGTATGGTGCCGCCTCCTCCCCGCCCACACCCCGCCGCAGCCCGAAGCCCGACGTGGCCCTGGAGCCTACCTGGGGCAGCTGCGCCAGAATGCGGTCCCTCCGCACCGGCGCCAGTATGTTCATCTTTCCTTCCTCCTTGCGGGACGCCCTGAGAAGCCGCGGAGGCCTGAACCGCCCCAGCGACGCGGACCGGTGGGGATCCGACAATCACCCGTGACCGAGGTGTCCCAACTATAACTCGGGGCCACGGGGAGCCTACGGGAGCCCGCGGCCTCGGGGACTCTACGACCACCGCGGGCCACGGGGATGACACAATTACCCGGGGCCGGGGCGAACCCACAATCACCCGGGCACGGGGCGTCCCGAGGTCGACTCGGGGGCGGGGAGACCCTTCGACCGCCAAATGGGAGCGAAGAGTCCCGTCCCGAGGGGACTGAGACCGCGCAGATCCTACAATAACTCGGGGCCGGATAGTTCCTACAATAACTCTGGGCCTCGGAGACCCGACAGCTCGGGGTTGAGGCGACCCTACCATAACAGAGAGGCCAGGGGGCACGGAGCGTCCTGGCCACACGGGGTCAGTGTGGGCTTGGGACGACGCTGCAAGGCCCGAGGGCTGCTGGAGGAGGGGGCGAGGGGCCCAGTCTGCTGCAGGGCCTCGCGTCCCACCCACTCTTCGCTCCCTCTGCAAGCGCTGTAACATGATCCCCGGAAATTCCTGGAGAAGGGCCGCCCCCCGCCCCTCTCCAGGCCGCGCAGCCCGTCCCGGTCTCCCCCTCTTCTCCTTCCCTCTGCGCTGCCCTAGCTCAGGCTCCCCCACCAGAAGCCTCATCCAGCACCAGGACCGCCCCGGCCCAGCCTGGAACTTGCCCAGATCGCGATACCCAGGTCGTTCTTCCCTGCACCTCGGTGCCGGGCTGCGCCTCCACGAGGACCCTTACCCAGCCGAATTGGTGGTGGGGAATCGGTGATTGCACCGCAGCATCTAGCTGCTCAAGGAACCGGAGGGGAGGGGAAAGGGAGAGAAAAGGGGCCCAAGGAGAGGCGGCGCTTCCCTCCTCAACTCCAGGCCCAAGACGTGACTCATGGAGTCTGCCCCCGTTCGCCCTTCTCCCTGGAAGATTGGGGCAGTGGGAGAGCGTAGAGGGGGTGCCAGGGTCGAAACGGGATACCCACCGAGGATAGAGACGTTCGAAGTCTAGTGTCTCTTCTTCCAAGGCTGCCGTGTAGATTGAGGGGTGGGAGGCAGAAGATCAAGATGCCTAGCTCGATGGAGGATAGAGGAGGTCTAAGTGCACCCGGAACTCGCCCTTTGGAGAGGTCACCGCTACAGGGAATGGGGACTCCCCTCTGGTATGGGCGTTCTCTCTGACACCATTGGAATCTTTCCCCCTAGGACTTTTCCGTTTTGCAGTTCTGCAGGATAGAAGGGGGGATAGCACACTACAAATCTCACCATCAAAGGGGAAATCGGCTTCCAAGATGGGTAGGGCAAGACAGAAACAGCGAGGTGGAGGTACAGTAGACAAAGACCCTCAGAGAAACAAACCTGACCATTTTAAACCTTGGTCTGTGTCAGGAACTGAATCTGAGGATGCAAAGATGACTGGATCAGGGAAGGGAAGACTACTTAAAGGGCAGAGGCTGTGAACGAAATTATTCACAAGAAGTAGCGAATTCTCGAGAAATCTGTGCGTTGGTGTTTGGAATATTAGTTTATTCTTCAAGAGTATTATCAGGAAAACTCACGAAATATAAGTCACAGGTAGAGAAAAGCAGAGGTAGAGAAGGGGTGGCCCCCTTCTACCTCCTCTGATACCTTCCTCCTCCCCATACTAGACTTTTTTTCTGCCACCAAATCACTGTTATTGATAAGCCATGTTCCTTTCTGGACATTAATTTTCGTAGATGTTGTCTGAGGTAATTGTACCAAACAAATTCTGCTCTAACATTCTAGAACTTAGCTTCACTCTCCCCAAGTCAATCTAACTATATTCATTACAGTTTGCAGCGTTAACCGTCTCCTGGAGCTGCAATTCCCTCCCCTGAAGTTGCCCAAGATGGGGATAGGTCAGGACCAGACAGGAGCTGGAAGGTGCCACCGGGAGCGAAAAATAAACCCGTGTCTCTAAAAAACTACAACCCCCAAAAAGCTTTTCTCTTACTAGGGGAGGGGTGACGCATGCTTAGTCCTTCTCGCAAGGAACTTAAACCTAACTACCATTCCCGACGGGCGCCGCGCTGTACATTATGCAATTAGATCTAAGTAAGAAACATCGCGAGGCTTCGGTAAGACTTGGCTCTATAAGCCCGTGAGAACGGGTATTGGAAACCCTTTTCACGAAGATGGCGCCGAAAGCAAAGAAGGAAGGTGTGTGTTGGGATTGGGGGGTACCGCTGCTGGCTGGCTTGGGGTCCCCGCAGAGTGAACGAACTAGGAGGACGGTGGCTGAGCTAAACATTGGAGTGTCTTGTTCCGGAGTTGTGTTTCGGCCACCCTGCGGCGCGCGTGGTCCCAGCCGCATGGGCTCGGCTCCAGTGGACGTTGGGGAGGCAAGCCCAGCCGGCACCACCTAGGGATAGCCAGACTGTTAGTTTTGGGGAGCCAACATATCTCTAGGGTGGTTGCGCGACGTCGGTACGTATAAAACTAGCGCACATCCTGGCAAATATCAAGCGTTCGGTCATTGCTATTTCCTATTTTTCTTCGTGGTGTCCCTGGCGATATTCCAAGCTTCCCCCAGTGTCGTGCATATGATGGAAAAACTTTAACCTCCTGAGACTTATGATGTTTTCAAAGGAACCACTGATGCACGCGTGGTCTGAGGCGCCCAACGACCTGTCTGGGGGCCGGAAGTGATCTATTCCTTAAATCTGCGCCGTATTTTCTTTACCTCTTTCAGCTCCTGCCCCTCCCAAAGCTGAAGCGAAAGCAAAAGCTTTGAAGGCCAAGAAAGCTGTGCTGAAAGGCGTTCACACCCACAAAAAAAAGAAGATCCGCACGTCACCTACCTTCAGACGGCCCAAGACACTGCGTCTCCGAAGGCAACCCAAATACCCTCGGAAGAGCGCCCCCAGGAGAAACAAGTCAGTACTGCCCCGTACCCGTGAAAAGATATTTGGGTATCCTCCATTGGTAATTTGGAAATTTACCAAACCTAGCCAACAGTTCCCTAAAGACATGCCCATACGTGGTGTGCTTCTCTAATGGAAGTGTGAGAAGACGTTTTTACAACATTGGCAGGAATTGTTAAAACAACTCAGAGACACTGTTATGGTTGATTGTTGGATTATTATTGTTTCATATGTGATCCCGGTATTAAAGGTCTACCTAACCTGGGAGGGTAAAGTAGGACTGAGAGAAGTGGTCTTTGTTTTAGAGTTCCAGGTTTAGTTTGTGCCTTTTTAACACCTATTACTTGGGATACTATCCTTGAGGGTGTGGATGTGGGATGAGTCTAGATTGATAAGGAGATTTATTCATCTATTGAACAGTGAAGGTCTATAACAGTGTATGGAAGGTAATGGGAAAATGGGCAGGTTAGGGTACTTGAGTGGTGTCGTGCTGCAGGTAATAACTGACCTTAGGGACCACAGATTAGAGCCATGGCTGCAGTTGACAGCAATGGATTTCTGGTCCTCCCACTATTTGCTAAGAAAAAGGCAGAGTGGGTTGTGTCCGTGGGGGAAAGCACTTGACCGGTCCATTTGGACCTAGAATTTAGTGTGATGAAAAGTTGAGACTGACTTCTAGCTTTGAAACAGGAAGGTAGTGTCCAGGTGAACAGAAACTTGCCTCTCAATTTCAGGGGGAAAGCTTGTGTTATAGGTGTGTCCAAGCCACTGTAAGTTTAACTTGAGCTGTAAATAAAAAAGTTTCTCTCAAGAATTGATGGCCGGCCCTCAAGGCAGTTTTCAGCAACCAGACAGGGCAGAAACATCTCTCCAGCCTCAGAGAAGAACCAGTATTCTTTGGCACCCTATTGTGGGTTTCAAGATTCCATAGTTTAGCTTTGTGCTTTTAGGGTAAGTTTAACCTCTCGAGTTTCAATTCCTTTTTCCAGAAGTTTGCCATTTAGAAATGTTGAGAGCAAATAAAAGATAAAGGGGTCTGTAACTCAGAGATGATCCTTTAATTGCTTAATGGATGAAAAGCCCTTCAAATCAAAGTGCATGAGGTTCTGTACCCAGGCTGAGGTTCCAGGTCTCTTAGGTTTCAGGGTGCAGGTGATGACACTGTTAAGCGACCAAAGTCTGACAGAATGATTGCTACTTCATTGTCTGATGCACCTGGGCTCTCTTGGCCTTGGGCTCCAAAAGAGGGCCCATGCTTTCTTCTACTGGGCCCAGGGCAGGTGACACCATTTTGCTGTTTCAGGCTTGACCACTATGCCATCATCAAGTTCCCCCTGACCACCGAGTCAGCCATGAAGAAGATAGAAGACAACAATACACTTGTGTTCATTGTGGATGTCAAGGCCAACAAGCACCAGATCAAACAGGCTGTGAAGAAGCTCTATGACATTGATGTGGCCAAGGTCAACACCCTGATCAGGTGAGTGGGAGCCCTCTGGGATGGGGGAAGGGGCTGGGTAACTACCCCTTAGTCAGGAGCCAGGTAACACGAATTACATGAAATTCCTTGATACTGTTTTTGGGGTCAGAAGTAAGTTTTACAGTGTGCAAGCCTAGAGGAATAAGCAGCCCCTGCTGTAATTACAGTCCTATGGAATATGGACTTATAAGGAAACATCAGCTGCTCTGCTTTCTAGGGCTTGGTATATGGAGTTAGTGTTCATTTTCTTGATCCCTGCCTCTAACAGAGCCAGGCCCTAGAGTAAAATACAATTTATGTCTGATTACCTGGATTTAAGTCTTAAATGTCCCCCCGTGGTGTTGGCCCATAGAAGGGAATTGGCTTCATTTAGCTTAGTGGACTAGCCCTCTGCGCAAGTGATGGAAAAATCATTTGGAAAAGAGTGACGTACACAAAGGAACCACTGATGTGCCAGACAATGGGAGGGAAGGGAGGCTTGGGGACAGTGAAGGCAGTAGGGATTAAGACTTCCTTCTCCATGCTAGGCCTGATGGAGAGAAGAAGGCATATGTTCGACTGGCTCCTGACTATGATGCTTTGGATGTTGCCAACAAAGTAAGCTGTTTTCCCTACAGACTCCTTAACACCCATACCCTGGGTGCAAATGATGTGTCTGTTAGTGACCAAAGCCTGACTTTTGCTGATTAATCTTAACTCTGACTGCACCTCTATCCTTAATAGGTCCTACCCTCACTCACTGTGTGCTCTTGTTGCTTTTTAACCATGACATTTCAGCTCCCAGTAACAAAGCTCCCTTTTGTTTTTCAGATTGGGATCATCTAAACTGAATCCAGCTGGCTAATTCTAAATATAAATATTGTCTCCATTTATGTCTCATGTCTTTATGTTGACTTCTAGTTGGCTGCAAAGAGGCCATACTGTGATGCATGTGCACTTAAGTAACAAGGCTTGGGCAAGACTCTTGATCTGCTCACCCAGTTGGAACACTCAGCCTTATCACCTCACCATATTTGCTGTGATCCTGGGGTGGGAGGGGGGTTGAGGTAGCAGAGATACTTATGACTAGGGTTAGTTGTTCTGGGAGACAACTACAGTTGCTACCATCATAATAGTAATAAGGTGCAACAAACTTTACAAAAACCCCTTTATCCTTGGAAGAGGCTTTGTATGAAACAATTATCTAGAAATTCATTAGCATCCAGTTCAGGGCATTGTGTGTTAGCTGGCTTTTCAGGTAGCACCTAGTCTCTGCACGCATCTACCATATCCAACCAGTCTGTCTGCTTCCCTCACCCCTTGTCAATAAAGGACAAGGACTTCAGAGTGGTTTCATTAGTGTTTTCAATGGTGGGTGCAAGCTTGACAGCTGGAGAGTGTGGCCCCAGAGGATGGCCCAGACTTGGGGCTCATCTCAGTTTGTGCCTGAGGCTGTTTGCTGTCCTTGTCCTCCCAGGCTCTGCCTCTCATTCAGTCAAAAATTTGTCTTTGAGTTGCTGGCTGGGAACACGCTTAGGGCAGAAGTCAGAGCGGAGAAGGCGGGAAAAGTAGATGAGAATCATGACGTCCAACATGAGCAGGATACCCAGCAGAAAGGTGCCCAGGGTCCTCTGGCCCCCATAACGCAGGAAAAAATGAGTGAGGTAGGCCTGAGGGGCCAGGCGGAAAAGAAAGTACATGACCAAGTTGACATACTTGTTGACCTGGTAAAAGAGGAGATGCTGGGCATTGTTGATCTTCATCATCATGCGGATGGTGAGGAAGATGTTGCTGACCTCTACCAGCAGTGTCAAGACACCCCCACCAACAAACCTGCTCCAAAAGATGCCTGAGAAGAAAGCACCCATGGCCTAGAAGGCAAAGGAGAGAACGGGTTAGGGGACCCAGGTGCTAAGGCTTCTGGAAGCTGGTGGGAGTATCAAGGCTACCAGGTTGAGGGCTGGAAAATTCCCCCCTATCTGCTTTTGGAATATAATTTAAAGTGGTTTAAACACAATGTAGTTGTGATCCTTGCCCATGGGATCTGGCCCTGGGTGGAGTTGCCAGTGTAAGGAGGTGCTGCATAAGGTGACACATAACTGGGCTCAAATGGTGAATCAAGTGTCAGCATGAGAAAAGTAGGACACAGTGGGAATGGGGTTAAATGATGGCCTTTACCTCCTAGGTTCAGAAAGGGCTGAGACTAGGTTGCTAGCACGGGGCCTATACCCCATTCCCTGCCTCTCACCATGACATGATGAACGAGGTACTCCCAAGACGCTCGCGCCTGATGACTAACCACGATGTCCACGGTGTCGTGGATGAAATAGCCTAGTGGAGGGATGGGGAATGGTCATGACGGGGACTTAATAAGAAGCTTTTCCTTATCCCTCTGCCTACTTTATGCTTCCTGGGCAAGACCCACCTGCAGAGAAGCAAACGAGCAAATAGCCAGAAAGCGACCATGCTGTTTCAATTTCGATGAGCATCTCAGGCGTCTGCCATATACTGGAAGGGAGGGAAGAAGGCAGGCGCTCATCATTTCGGCATTTCCAAGGCCCCTCAGCTCCCCCGCTGCCCTTCCCAATCCCCGGGGAGTCTGGGCTGCCGCTATTGGCTGACTGGGGTGCTAGGAGGGACTTGGCTGAAACCCAGGTGTCTTCCGTTTCCCAGGTGAGATTTACCCCTGGGCCGCTGCCACTCCTGGTTGGACAGCATTCCAAACGGAATCAGGTGAGACTGCATGGCCTCAGACGGCCTTTAAGTAGTGGGGAGAGTAACGCGGGATCCCCTAGCCACCTTCACTCCCCGAATCCACTCACCACTGCAGCGCCCAGCTCCCTGATACAATGGAATGGGCGAAGGAGACGAGCAGGTTGTGCCAGCGCCAGGTGCGCAGTGGGTCGGCGCGCACGTGCGCGGGCAGGGGCAGGAGACAGAGCACGCGCCGTAGCGCCCGAAAGGTCAGCGTGGCGCCCAGGAGCAGCGGCAGGGCTGGGTGCAGCAGTGAGGGCATGCTGGCCCTCCCTGCCGTCTGTCTGTCCACCCTCTAGGCGGCCTTCTCGGGCTGCGCAGGGAACAGAGCTCTCTCTCTGCTACCCGACCCCGTACGCCTCTCCCGCCCGCCGCCAGCCTCAGTTTTCGCAGAGCCTTCTAGGCCCCTTAGCTCCTCCCGGCCCCTCCCCGCGGGTCTCTGCCCCCGCCCCTCTGGCGCCTCTGCGGCACGGAGGGCGTGATCCCCATTTGCCCAAGGCTTCTGGGCCCCGCCTGGCTCCCGCGGACTTAGGGCGGAAAGGGGCAGTCCTGGGGACGCCGCCACCCCGGCACTCCTCGCTGGCGCCTTCTGACTGTCGACGGAGTTCCGCCTTGCTCGCTTGGCCTCATTAACCCGCCTCCCCACTTTCCGCGAGGCCGCCGGCTCCCCCGCCTGGACGGGTACTGAGAGAACTCGCTCTCCACCCTCAACTGCTTTCTGGGCATAGCTGGGCGGGACCGTCACACACCCACATCCTTTAAGCCCTGGTCCTGGGAGGGGTCAGAGCCCCGCCTCGGATAGTGACCTGCCCATACCCAGTTCTCTCACCTCACTAGCTACTTCAGGCCGGAGACGAACATGGTTACCTGCCTCTACCGCGTCCTGCACCGAGGCGGTGCCTCGAAACTGTTGACTAACCCATCATCACCCCTCCTCCCAGCCCGCTCTTGAGCTCCTGGGGCCGAGTGGCTGTCAGAGTCTTCCCTCAGATAGTCCCAGCTCTCTGAAGGTGGGGCGGGGAAGACCGCCGATTTACCCAGGCTACTGGAGTGCCCCTCACCCTTCAGGCCCGCATTCTGGAGCAATAGCAGCTCGTGGCCACTAGATGCCAGTCTGTCCTCACTGTGCCACAGGATCCTGTCCTGCCTCCAAAGGAATCAGGCGGTTGCTTTCCGGGAAGAGTTAGCCCGACTAGCGAACAGAGTAGCAGCCCAGAGCCCGGGAATGGGTGTGAGGTGTGGTAAAGGAGAGGAAAGGGGCCGTTGAGTAGGTGGGTAATGGCGAGAGAAAAAAAAGTGCGAGAGGGAGGGAAAGCCTGAAGCCTGAGAGCCAGAGAGCAAGGGGTTTTGTTTTCCTTCCCGATGTCTCCAAGGTTACACATTAACCCCTGTGGGTCTCCTGGGTCAACCAAGGCCTGATCGTTTTCTAGGTGAGAGCACGAGTGTCCCTGTGACCGTCTTCCCCCCTCTGTGCTCCCCTTTGCTCACAGGGTAGCTTTGTCCGCCAGCCAACACGGAACTGAGCCAGAACTGAGGGACCCTGGCATGCTTTGTAGATGGGAGCAGAACATAAACACACGTTTCCTCACATTCCTCACCCACTCAGAAATAGGGACGCTATCCCCTAGCTAATCATCTAACAACTCTTCAATTCATCTTTCATGGAGCTCATTCAAGAGCAGGAAGCGTCTGGGAGACAGACAACCGAAATTAAACTCACTTCCGGTCAAGACCCTAGACTATCGTTCCAACCAGCTCTCTACCTCTGGGCAGAAACCTTGAATCCGTATCGGCCGATTGCCTGTTTTTCCTCCTCTCCCTGACGCTTTCAGGTAGTGGTCCATTTTTCTCCCAAGGAGGTTCTCCCAGTTTGAAGGCAGATTACCCTGCGGCCGGTGTGTGTATGCTGGGGCGGGAGGGGGAGTTCAGTGTGCTGACGAGCGCGGTGCTCACTAGTCCGGACAGCGTGGAGACAGTGTCACATCCTCCCTAGGTGAAGCAACTTACACAACTCAGGATTTCCCATGTCCCTCCCTAGTCAAAATTGATCGTGCTCCCTGAACCACAACCGAGAGCGCTGACTCCCTCGGTTCAGTTTTGGTAGCGGTTAACATTTGTGTGCCAGTTAGAATCTGCTCTTCCGAAACAGCGTCACTAGCGGGCTAGTGTGGGGTGCCGAAAGAATGGGCCGAGAAGTTGGTCCTCGCTTCCCTCTCAACCTGAGCGGGGCACCCCTCTTAGCTAAGGAAGTTTTGCAAGGGCCGGATGCGGCCACGTGTGTGGGATGTGGCTGGTTACAGTACTGGCCACTGAGCAGTGCACCAAGAAACGGAACACCGCTCCATTTCTTGGACCCTGGAAAAGCGAAGCAAACCGCAGGAAAACCGATAGACTGCAGGGACCAACCAAATCCGCAAAGCCAGACTGACCCAACACCCTAACGCCCTTATCCCGCCCTACAATTATCTTACAGCGTAGGGGGCGAGGCTTCTGAGTGGGCGGAACCGCGCACGCGCTGCGTCTGGGCGTGGAGGGTTCCGGAAATGTGACACTGAGAAACGAGATGGAGAAGTACGAGCGGATCCGAGTGGTGGGGAGAGGTGCCTTCGGGTGAGCCAGGGATCTGGGGAAGGAAACTACTCGGGAAGAAGGAAAATAAGCGCCAATTCCTAACACGAAATCGTTTCCCGGTTGGCCCCACCCCGAGGCGTAGGCGCCCTCTCAGGGAAGGCCCGCCTAGGCTTCCGGTCCCATTCCCGGCTGGGAGACTCCGCCTCTCAGGTCACGCCCCGACAGCCCTCGCCGCCCCGACTAGAGTTCTATTTCTGATTCATTCAACAAATACTGAGCGGCAACTATACCTGACAGGCTCTCGGCGCTTGGGTATACAGTAAAGCCCAAAACAGTGGTGGGTCTTTTCCCTCTCGGAGCTTACAGACTATCGGAGAATTATATAACAGGAAGACGTTAAAGCAGTTATTAAGTTGTGACAATAGAGTAAGACACCAGCGAGTACTTATATGGGGCGGTCAAGAAAAACTTCTCTGAGGTGAAATTCAAAGCCAAAACTCGAGAAATGAGGATCAGTAGTCTGAAGGTGAAAGCAGAGCTTTTCAGGCAGAGGAAATAGCATATGTGAAAGTCCTCACGTGGGAAAGAATCCAGAGTATTCAAAACACTGAAAAAAACACTAGCGTAGTCGGAATATAGCGGACAAGAGAAAGAATGGTATAAATGTGATTGTCGTGGAGGGCGGGGACCAGAGTATGGCCTTGTAGGCTGAGGTAAAGTGGTTGAATTTATTTGCAGTGCTACGGGAAGAGGTTTAAGCAGAAGAATGGTCTTGATATGATTTCCATTTTTAAAATGTCACTTTGGTTGCTGTGTGGAATTTAGATTTGAGGGTGACATGAGTGAAAGGGACCATTTTGAGGGCTAGTGCAGTATTCTAGGCAAGAAATTATTTGGCCAAAGATTACACAGAGGTCACAGAGAAATGGATGAGTTCACAATATTTTGGATGTAGAAACAGGATTTACTAATGTGTTAGTGTGAAATGGAGGAAGGATTCTGGCATGAATTCCAGGTGTCTGACTTTAATAACTAGTGGTGTCATTTACTGAGACGGGGGAGACTGAAGAAGGAAAGGTTTCTGGGGCAGGAATAAAGAGTTTTACTTTGAACTGGTTAATATTTAGGATATTTGTGAGCCGTTCAGGTAGAGATGCAAAGCAGGTATTGGATATGTAAGTTGGGCTTGGAGGAAAGATCTGAGCTGGAAATGTAAATTTGATACTGAGATGATTATCTTATAGTCTATTCATTCAGCAGATACTTATCAAGCTCCTATTATGTGCTAAATACTGGGCTATACACCGGGGATATGCACTGGAGAACAAGAAAGAAGAGCAGAGCTGGAAGAAAATAATATGAATGGCTTCTGTTCGTTGAGTAGTTTTTGATGTGCTAGGCACTGTGCTAAGTGCCTTACTTGCATTTTCTCATTGGATCCTCTCAATAACCCAGTGAGGTCCATTCTGTTTCCAGATGATGATATCACATAATCAAAGACCAGAGGACTAGTAAGAGGAGAAGCTGGGATTTGAACCCAGGCAGTAAACTCCAGAGCCTTTGGGAACTTAAAGGGATCAAGGCTATTTTTAATTTTCTTTATGTGCCTGTGGAGAAACTGAGTCTTAAATAAGTGACTTTCCACAGGTCTCACACAGAGTTTGTGGTAGTTCTCCGTACTCCTAAACTCAGTATTCTGTGCACTTAGTTAGATGACCTCTGGGTGCCCATCCTCCACTCCCAAATAACATCCGGTCACCAGGACAACCCTACCTGATAAGTGGTTGGAGGCTTTGCTGGTGCTCACCTCTGCACTCTGTGTCTCCAGGATTGTGCACCTGTGCCTGCGCAAGGCTGACCAGAAGCTGGTGATCATCAAGCAGATCCCAGTGGAACAGATGACTAAGGAAGAGCGGCAGGCAGCCCAAAATGAGTGCCAGGTCCTCAAGCTCCTCAACCACCCCAATGTTATTGAGTACTATGAGAATTTCCTGGAGGACAAGGCCCTCATGATTGCCATGGAATATGCACCAGGTGGGCCAGCCTCTTTGCAGTGGCCTGGCCCCAAGGAAAGTGTCTGCCTCTCCCCTCTGGAACAGGCAGACATAGATAGCCAACTTCCATCCTTGGAATTGGGGGCTTGGGTGAGGGTCAGAGGTATAGAGTTCTGACGCCAGTTGTGACTCTGGCAAGCCTTTGCCCTGTCTGGGCATTTCGTAAAAGGAGAGTCCCAGGTATGGAATAGCTTGGATCTTGACTAGTCCCTTGTGGCTGCAGGTGGCACCCTGGCTGAGTTCATCCAAAAGCGCTGTAATTCTCTGCTGGAGGAGGAGACCATCCTGCACTTCTTTGTACAGATCCTGCTCGCACTGCATCATGTGCACATCCACCTCATCCTGCACCGCGACCTCAAGACCCAAAACATCCTTCTTGACAAACACCGCATGGTTGTCAAGATTGGTGACTTTGGCATCTCCAAGATCCTTAGCAGCAAGAGCAAGGCCTACACGGTGCCTGGGCAGGAAGGGGACCTCAAGGGTGCTGGAGATTTTGAGGGCCAAGGCCCACTCTGCATTCCTATCTAACTGCCACACCCAAGTCCTTTGCACCTTAGCCACTGGCTGGGTGGTCCTGCAGGAAGAAGCACTTTGAATGCTTCTGGGAGCAGCTATCTCCAAGTGGGCCTGGGGCAGAGTCCTTGGGCTTCCCTTCCTGGGGCTGTAATAGCAGCTTCTCTCCTGCAGGTGGTGGGTACTCCATGCTACATCTCCCCTGAACTGTGTGAGGGCAAACCCTACAACCAGAAGAGTGACATATGGGCCCTGGGCTGTGTTCTCTATGAGCTGGCCAGCCTCAAGAGGGCCTTTGAGGCTGCGGTGAGTAAGCCAGCACCTCCTCGACCCCGGGGGAAAAATAGGAAACCTTTACTTCCCTCCTGTGAAGTCCTTGGTGCCAACCACTTACGTGTTTCTTCCTGTGGCTGAATCAGTCTCCCACATCAGATTGGTGGATTACCCTGGGCAGGATTACCCCAGGGCTCCCCTCAGACTATGGGTTCTTGAGGGTAGCACTTGGGTCCCCCAATTAAACTGACGGCTTCTGATGGCAGGGCTCTCCCTTCAGATTAGGGAGTCTCCTAAAGGCAAGACTTGGATTTTCCTAAGAAACCTAGGGTTTCTGGGAACCTAGCTGCAGCTACCCTATTAGGGCTTCTTGAAAGCAGGGTTTGGCTCCACTGGCATCCTGGGAGGCCCCTCATCAGACTAAAGGTTCCTGAGTCCAAAGTTGTGACCACCCCATCAGACCAGGTAGCCAGGGCGGGAGCTGGGGATGCTGCCACCTGAGTCCAGGCCTGAGGCTTTGGCCAACCTCACAGTATGGTTGGTGCCTTCACAGAACCTGCCAGCACTGGTGCTGAAGATCATGAGTGGCACCTTTGCACCCATCTCTGACCGGTACAGCCCTGAGCTGCGCCAGCTGGTCCTGAGTCTGCTCAGCCTGGAGCCTGCACAGCGGCCGCCACTCAGCCACATCATGGCACAGCCCCTTTGCATTCGCGCCTTGCTCAACCTCCATACCGACGTGGGCAGCGTCCGCATGAGGAGGCCTGTGCAGGGAGTGGGGCAAAGGGCAGTGGAGGTGGGGGGGGAGGATAGGCACCGTACGCCTGGGGCAGGGGCGGCTCAGGACAAGTATTCCATTCGTGCAAGTGAGAATACTAGGGAGAGCCCAAGTCCTGAGGCCCCCATCTGTCTGCAGGGCAGAGAAGTCCCTGGCCACCGGGCCTCCCATGGCCCCAGGCAGCACAGGAAGCCGGACCACCAGCGCTCGATGCAGAGGTAAATTGTAATTGACTGCCCATTACCACAGTTGCCACCCCATTCCCAGCAGTTTTAACAGGCCTGATGCGCTATCCCGGCAGGCGTTCCCCGGGGACCTGCATGTCCAGCCATTCCTCCGCCACTGTCGTCAGTGTACGCCTGGGGCGGTGGGCTCAGTGCTCCGCTGCGGCTGCCGATGCTTAACACAGAGGTAATCCAGGTAGCAGCGGGACGCACGCAGAAGGCTGGCGTCACTCGCTCTGGGCGCCTCATCCTATGGGAGGTGAGCAGGCGGGGTGCCGGATGGGACGCCTGAAAGGGCGCCGGGAAGAAGGGGGCGCTCAGGCACCGCCTAAGCCCTCCCTGTCCCTCCGCAGGCCCCGCCCCTAGGCGCGGGAGCCGGTACCCTACTCCCAGGGGCGGTGGAACAGCAGCATCCCCAGTTCGTCTCTCGTTTCTTGGAGGGCCAGTCGGGCGTGACCATCAAGCACGTAGCCTGCGGCGACCTCTTCACGGCCTGCCTGACTGGTGAGTGGACTCCGGTCGGTCGGGGAACTGCTCTTATGAGAAATCCCCCCAGAGCAGCTTTACTGATTGCATGTCATTTACAAACTGCTGGTTTAATTAATCTACTGGTTACTGCACACCAGGGGCTTTACTTACATAAAATCTTTATCCTTCACAACAGGCCTGGCAAGGTAGTTGTTATCGCCATTTGCCAGATCTGGAAACTAACACTCAGAGGCTAAGTCACTCGTCCAAAGTTACACACCTGGGAAGAGAGACGCCTGCCTTTTACTCCCTTATTCCACTCTTCCAGCCCTAGCTTCAACTTTTCCTTGCTCCTCCAACCCAAGGTTGGACTGGTCTTTCTGGAGAAGCAGCCCAATCTCTCTCCCTTTCCTTTCTTCACTGCCCCCAGACCGAGGCATTATTATGACCTTTGGCAGCGGCAGCAATGGGTGCCTAGGCCATGGCAGCCTTAATGACATCAGCCAGGTGGGTATTGCTTTCCCCTTGAGGAGGAGGAAGCGGGGAGATGGCAAGCGGCCCATATCTGAAACCTGACACCCAGCTTAGCAACAGGGGAATCCGCAGCAATCAGATCCCTTTAGCTCCCAGGCTGCACCTGTTGTGGGCAGCATGGAGGGAAGTACCAAGATACCAGGCTTTTCTGATGGTTGCACTGTGTGAGTAGGGGTGGGGGGATGGTGCTAAAGAGACAGCCATCTCATGAGAATTTGCAAGTTCCAATTTCTTGTCTACATGGAACGCTGAGGCCAGGCAGCTAATCCCAGCCCCTTGCCCATAGTCTCCCTTTGCTTCCTGTCTCTCTAGCCCACCATTGTGGAGAAACTGCTGGGCTATGAGATGGTGCAGGTGGCCTGTGGGGCCTCTCATGTGCTGGCCTTGTCTACTGACCGAGAACTATTTGCCTGGGGCCGCGGGGATGGTGGTAAGCTCTCTCCACCCTGTTCCAGCCTCTAGGCTTCATCTCCATGATTCGCTCCTCTTCATACTCACCTTCCACCCCATGGCCCATTCTCGCCTCTCTCTTTCCAAATTCTGTTCATTCATTCAGCAAGCCTTCATTGAACATCTACTCTGTGCCCCTGTGCACTGAGACAAGATGAACAAGAGTTGCTTCTTTCAGGTGTTGATGACATAAAGAGGGAGGTTTCCAGCAATATTTATTGTGGTTCTCTGTGGGTCAGGTATCAGGCTGGGCATTGAAAACTAGAGATGACTTAGGTTGAGTTCCAGTTCTCCTAGGGGACGCAGTCTAGTGGAGGGAGAGATAACCCGTCTCCAGCGTGACAGAGGACAGACAGCATCAGGGCTCCCACCCAGGGTCCAGAGGTTTGGGAACCCAAGGAATGGCAAGGGACCCCATCTGGGGGAGACAGAAATGGCATCTGAACAGGGCCTTAAAGGAGGAGTAAGGGTTGTGACACACTGAGGGGCCAAAAATAGGCATTTCAGGCCAAGAACAGCATTCATTCTTCATGCAGTTACCTCCTTTTTGTGTGTCTTCCTCCTCCTGGCATCACCAATCCTGAAGCTCAAACTAGCCCTGTCCTGGTTTCTCCTTGTAGGCCGGCTGGGACTAGGCACCAGGGAGTCCCACAGCTGCCCCCAGCAGGTACCCATGCCCCCAGGACAGGAAGCCCAGCGTGTTGTATGTGGCATTGACTCCTCCATGATCCTCACAGTGCATGGCCGAGCCCTGGCTTGTGGGAGCAACAGGTAAATAGGTGCGCCAGGATTGACTAGCCTGCCCCCTCACCCTCCCTGGCTGTTAATGCTCCATCTGTTGTTACCTACCTCCCACCAAGGATCAGAATTGATAGGCTGAGGGTGCTGCTGGGTTCAACTCAGGGTGGGGTCTGTCCACTGGTTCCTAGCTCCTGCCCAGATACGTGGGGGCAGGACAGTCTATACAAATTGTTGGACTTGGCTCTGGCTCTACCTTAAGGTTCAACAAGCTTGGCCTAGACCATCTCTCTTTAGGGGAGGAGGCTGCCCCTCCCCAGCAAGTGGAGGAGATCCTGAGCTTCATACCACTAGGTTCTACACCCCTGGACCAGGAGCCCCTGCTAAGTGTGGACCTGGGCACTGCTCATTCAGCTGCTGTGACTGGTGAGTAGATTCCGGGCATAGGAGGCCCGAGATGGGTTCTCCTGGCCTCTTCCAGGCCTCAGTCGAGACACCCCTTTTTTACTTTCCTCCCTCCTCTATAGCCTCTGGTGACTGCTACACTTTTGGCAGCAATCAGCATGGGCAGTTGGGCACCAGTGCTCGCCGGGTCAGCCGGGCACCTTGTCAAGTCCAAGGCCTCCAGGGCATCAGGATAGCAATGGTGGCTTGTGGTGATGCCTTCACTGTAGCCATTGGGGCAGGTGATTAATGGGCATTATGGGGGCAGGTGAGGGTCAGGGCAGGCTTGTGGGCAGTACGGGGTTATCTTGCTCAGGGCTGCTGAACTCAGCAACCTCTTGTTGGGCCAGTATGGCAGTCTAGGATAGCTGCATCCTAAGCTATGTCCTCTTCCCATTTCCCTCCTTGGGGTTCTCTTTGGCAGAAGGTGAAGTGTACTCTTGGGGTAAAGGGGCCCGAGGTCGACTGGGAAGGAGGGATGAGGATGCTGGACTCCCAAAGCCAGTGCAGCTGGATGAGACACACCCCTACACTGTGACTTCTGTGTCCTGTTGCCATGGAAACACTCTCCTGGCTGTTCGCTGTGAGTGGTAACTTTTCCTACCCCACCCCACCTGGCTCCTGCCCACACTCCCATCCCCAGTGGTCATAGCCCAAATCACTAAAAGCATCTCCAGCACCCAGATAGGTGAAAGCAGGAGCTTCAGGTAATATCCAGCTCCCTGCATGGGGTGGGGAAGGGTGAATACTTAGACTCCCTGAAGGGCTGCCTTCACTGCTTCCCAGGGCCCTAATGCATTCTTTCTCCTCTTACCTGTGAGTCCAGTTTATTTTGAAGCCTTTATTTCTGGTCAGGCAGAGCCCAGAGTCCAGTGTGGAGTCGGAGCAGAGGTGGGTGAACTTGCCAGAGGCACTGCCCCTTGGGAAGGAAGCTGCAGAGGTTTCTCTTTTATACCCTCCAGCCATCACAGAAGAACCAGCCCCCCCCTGAGACACCTCGGTACATCTCTGAACCACTCTGATACTGCTTCTGCACTGAATGTTGGGAAGTACAGGTGCCTGAGGCAAGACTATCACCACCAGCCCTCTGTATTGTGATTTCAATGGGGTATAAGAACCAGTGAAGCCCCTGCGCTGCTTTTGGTCCTGTATATTGGAAACCTCCACCCTCCCTGCTCCTCCTACAACTTTTTTTTCTCCTCACCCCTTCTTCTCTTAAGTCAGTTTCCCCAGCGTCCAGCCTGGCTAGGGTTGGAAGCCAAACCAAATCTTTGGAAGTAGGGTGGTATCCCGAGCCTTGGCAGAAAAAGGCTGGAGGTTGCTGTGGATCTACCCAGGCCCTGCCTCTTCTCCCAGCCCAGTTAAAAAGTCTCTGGTACCCACTGGTAGAGCAGCTCAGTGCTTTGGAGCAGGGCAAGCCTGGACTGGCCATTCCAGCTGCCTAGCGTCTGCACTGCCTGAGGAGGGAATGCTGCTGTCTGCCCCCACTCCTAAATCCTGAGGCTGGGATCTGCAAAAACCTCTCGGTGCCTCCCCTCCCCTGCGGGCTGGGGAGTGCATCAGCTGCAAAGTGTCTACTGCAGAGGGGATCCCTGCTGAATGTTGTCCTTCTTTCCCCAGGCCTTCGCCCTAAGCAGAGGGGGGAAAGGGCAGCTGGCCGGAATAGACCAGTTTCCCAGCTGACTGGAAAGTAGTGCCAATAAAAACATAAGTTGCCTGCCTAGAATGTGGTCTCTCCAGGGGTGGGGATGACGGCCTGACACCCCAGGGCGGGGCAGGGCTTGATCTCGATCTTGATCTCGGTTGCTCAGCCCGGTCCAGAGGAATGTGAGCAAAGCCTTAGACTGGGGCTGAGGTTCCTCTGGCACAGCGCCCAGCCTGGCTTCCCCGCCCCAGCCGGGCTCCCGATCTGGTTGCCAGGCTTCGGCTGCCTAGCACCTGGAAGCTGTTGCCCCGGGCCTTTGAGCGACACGTGGCCCCAGAGACTGAGCTGTCCACTCTGGAGAAGTGAACCTTTATGGCGCGGCCAGGCCCGGCACCCGGGTCCCTCCGCCCCACCTAGCGTCAGGTTCCCCCACGTCGAAGCCACAGTCTCTTACAAAGGGGAACGAGGAGCCTGTGCTTCATAAGCAGAAGAGGTTGGCCGTACGCTTACCCGAGGTCGCGAGGTGGGTGGGGAGCCGGGCTGCGGCGGGCACTAGGACCGCGCGGTCGCGGCTCCGCCCCCTCTTCCGGCGGGCGGGCTCGAGGGCTGGGCGCAGGCCGCAGGCCGCTGCCGCCAGTCGGCGCCTCCCGGAGCCTGGAGGTTGGATCGTGTACGGAGCGAGGCGCGGGCTGTGGGGCCGCCGCGTGTCTGGCCCCGCTCGCCCGTGCCCCCCGCTCGCCCGCCCGCACGCCATGCCCGGCTTCGACTACAAGTTTCTGGAGAAGCCCAAGCGGCGGCTGCTTTGAGCCGTTCAGGTAGAGATGCAAAGCAGGTATTGGATATGTAAGTTGGGCTTGGAGGAAAGATCTGAGCTGGAAATGTAAATTTGATACTGAGATGATTATCTTATAGTCTATTCATTCAGCAGATACTTATCAAGCTCCTATTATGTGCTAAATACTGGGCTATACACCGGGGATATGCACTGGAGAACAAGAAAGAAGAGCAGAGCTGGAAGAAAATAATATGAATGGCTTCTGTTCGTTGAGTAGTTTTTGATGTGCTAGGCACTGTGCTAAGTGCCTTACTTGCATTTTCTCATTGGATCCTCTCAATAACCCAGTGAGGTCCATTCTGTTTCCAGATGATGATATCACATAATCAAAGACCAGAGGACTAGTAAGAGGAGAAGCTGGGATTTGAACCCAGGCAGTAAACTCCAGAGCCTTTGGGAACTTAAAGGGATCAAGGCTATTTTTAATTTTCTTTATGTGCCTGTGGAGAAACTGAGTCTTAAATAAGTGACTTTCCACAGGTCTCACACAGAGTTTGTGGTAGTTCTCCGTACTCCTAAACTCAGTATTCTGTGCACTTAGTTAGATGACCTCTGGGTGCCCATCCTCCACTCCCAAATAACATCCGGTCACCAGGACAACCCTACCTGATAAGTGGTTGGAGGCTTTGCTGGTGCTCACCTCTGCACTCTGTGTCTCCAGGATTGTGCACCTGTGCCTGCGCAAGGCTGACCAGAAGCTGGTGATCATCAAGCAGATCCCAGTGGAACAGATGACTAAGGAAGAGCGGCAGGCAGCCCAAAATGAGTGCCAGGTCCTCAAGCTCCTCAACCACCCCAATGTTATTGAGTACTATGAGAATTTCCTGGAGGACAAGGCCCTCATGATTGCCATGGAATATGCACCAGGTGGGCCAGCCTCTTTGCAGTGGCCTGGCCCCAAGGAAAGTGTCTGCCTCTCCCCTCTGGAACAGGCAGACATAGATAGCCAACTTCCATCCTTGGAATTGGGGGCTTGGGTGAGGGTCAGAGGTATAGAGTTCTGACGCCAGTTGTGACTCTGGCAAGCCTTTGCCCTGTCTGGGCATTTCGTAAAAGGAGAGTCCCAGGTATGGAATAGCTTGGATCTTGACTAGTCCCTTGTGGCTGCAGGTGGCACCCTGGCTGAGTTCATCCAAAAGCGCTGTAATTCTCTGCTGGAGGAGGAGACCATCCTGCACTTCTTTGTACAGATCCTGCTCGCACTGCATCATGTGCACATCCACCTCATCCTGCACCGCGACCTCAAGACCCAAAACATCCTTCTTGACAAACACCGCATGGTTGTCAAGATTGGTGACTTTGGCATCTCCAAGATCCTTAGCAGCAAGAGCAAGGCCTACACGGTGCCTGGGCAGGAAGGGGACCTCAAGGGTGCTGGAGATTTTGAGGGCCAAGGCCCACTCTGCATTCCTATCTAACTGCCACACCCAAGTCCTTTGCACCTTAGCCACTGGCTGGGTGGTCCTGCAGGAAGAAGCACTTTGAATGCTTCTGGGAGCAGCTATCTCCAAGTGGGCCTGGGGCAGAGTCCTTGGGCTTCCCTTCCTGGGGCTGTAATAGCAGCTTCTCTCCTGCAGGTGGTGGGTACTCCATGCTACATCTCCCCTGAACTGTGTGAGGGCAAACCCTACAACCAGAAGAGTGACATATGGGCCCTGGGCTGTGTTCTCTATGAGCTGGCCAGCCTCAAGAGGGCCTTTGAGGCTGCGGTGAGTAAGCCAGCACCTCCTCGACCCCGGGGGAAAAATAGGAAACCTTTACTTCCCTCCTGTGAAGTCCTTGGTGCCAACCACTTACGTGTTTCTTCCTGTGGCTGAATCAGTCTCCCACATCAGATTGGTGGATTACCCTGGGCAGGATTACCCCAGGGCTCCCCTCAGACTATGGGTTCTTGAGGGTAGCACTTGGGTCCCCCAATTAAACTGACGGCTTCTGATGGCAGGGCTCTCCCTTCAGATTAGGGAGTCTCCTAAAGGCAAGACTTGGATTTTCCTAAGAAACCTAGGGTTTCTGGGAACCTAGCTGCAGCTACCCTATTAGGGCTTCTTGAAAGCAGGGTTTGGCTCCACTGGCATCCTGGGAGGCCCCTCATCAGACTAAAGGTTCCTGAGTCCAAAGTTGTGACCACCCCATCAGACCAGGTAGCCAGGGCGGGAGCTGGGGATGCTGCCACCTGAGTCCAGGCCTGAGGCTTTGGCCAACCTCACAGTATGGTTGGTGCCTTCACAGAACCTGCCAGCACTGGTGCTGAAGATCATGAGTGGCACCTTTGCACCCATCTCTGACCGGTACAGCCCTGAGCTGCGCCAGCTGGTCCTGAGTCTGCTCAGCCTGGAGCCTGCACAGCGGCCGCCACTCAGCCACATCATGGCACAGCCCCTTTGCATTCGCGCCTTGCTCAACCTCCATACCGACGTGGGCAGCGTCCGCATGAGGAGGCCTGTGCAGGGAGTGGGGCAAAGGGCAGTGGAGGTGGGGGGGGAGGATAGGCACCGTACGCCTGGGGCAGGGGCGGCTCAGGACAAGTATTCCATTCGTGCAAGTGAGAATACTAGGGAGAGCCCAAGTCCTGAGGCCCCCATCTGTCTGCAGGGCAGAGAAGTCCCTGGCCACCGGGCCTCCCATGGCCCCAGGCAGCACAGGAAGCCGGACCACCAGCGCTCGATGCAGAGGTAAATTGTAATTGACTGCCCATTACCACAGTTGCCACCCCATTCCCAGCAGTTTTAACAGGCCTGATGCGCTATCCCGGCAGGCGTTCCCCGGGGACCTGCATGTCCAGCCATTCCTCCGCCACTGTCGTCAGTGTACGCCTGGGGCGGTGGGCTCAGTGCTCCGCTGCGGCTGCCGATGCTTAACACAGAGGTAATCCAGGTAGCAGCGGGACGCACGCAGAAGGCTGGCGTCACTCGCTCTGGGCGCCTCATCCTATGGGAGGTGAGCAGGCGGGGTGCGGGATGGGACGCCTGAAAGGGCGCCGGGAAGAAGGGGGCGCTCAGGCACCGCCTAAGCCCTCCCTGTCCCTCCGCAGGCCCCGCCCCTAGGCGCGGGAGCCGGTACCCTACTCCCAGGGGCGGTGGAACAGCAGCATCCCCAGTTCGTCTCTCGTTTCTTGGAGGGCCAGTCGGGCGTGACCATCAAGCACGTAGCCTGCGGCGACCTCTTCACGGCCTGCCTGACTGGTGAGTGGACTCCGGTCGGTCGGGGAACTGCTCTTATGAGAAATCCCCCCAGAGCAGCTTTACTGATTGCATGTCATTTACAAACTGCTGGTTTAATTAATCTACTGGTTACTGCACACCAGGGGCTTTACTTACATAAAATCTTTATCCTTCACAACAGGCCTGGCAAGGTAGTTGTTATCGCCATTTGCCAGATCTGGAAACTAACACTCAGAGGCTAAGTCACTCGTCCAAAGTTACACACCTGGGAAGAGAGACGCCTGCCTTTTACTCCCTTATTCCACTCTTCCAGCCCTAGCTTCAACTTTTCCTTGCTCCTCCAACCCAAGGTTGGACTGGTCTTTCTGGAGAAGCAGCCCAATCTCTCTCCCTTTCCTTTCTTCACTGCCCCCAGACCGAGGCATTATTATGACCTTTGGCAGCGGCAGCAATGGGTGCCTAGGCCATGGCAGCCTTAATGACATCAGCCAGGTGGGTATTGCTTTCCCCTTGAGGAGGAGGAAGCGGGGAGATGGCAAGCGGCCCATATCTGAAACCTGACACCCAGCTTAGCAACAGGGGAATCCGCAGCAATCAGATCCCTTTAGCTCCCAGGCTGCACCTGTTGTGGGCAGCATGGAGGGAAGTACCAAGATACCAGGCTTTTCTGATGGTTGCACTGTGTGAGTAGGGGTGGGGGGATGGTGCTAAAGAGACAGCCATCTCATGAGAATTTGCAAGTTCCAATTTCTTGTCTACATGGAACGCTGAGGCCAGGCAGCTAATCCCAGCCCCTTGCCCATAGTCTCCCTTTGCTTCCTGTCTCTCTAGCCCACCATTGTGGAGAAACTGCTGGGCTATGAGATGGTGCAGGTGGCCTGTGGGGCCTCTCATGTGCTGGCCTTGTCTACTGACCGAGAACTATTTGCCTGGGGCCGCGGGGATGGTGGTAAGCTCTCTCCACCCTGTTCCAGCCTCTAGGCTTCATCTCCATGATTCGCTCCTCTTCATACTCACCTTCCACCCCATGGCCCATTCTCGCCTCTCTCTTTCCAAATTCTGTTCATTCATTCAGCAAGCCTTCATTGAACATCTACTCTGTGCCCCTGTGCACTGAGACAAGATGAACAAGAGTTGCTTCTTTCAGGTGTTGATGACATAAAGAGGGAGGTTTCCAGCAATATTTATTGTGGTTCTCTGTGGGTCAGGTATCAGGCTGGGCATTGAAAACTAGAGATGACTTAGGTTGAGTTCCAGTTCTCCTAGGGGACGCAGTCTAGTGGAGGGAGAGATAACCCGTCTCCAGCGTGACAGAGGACAGACAGCATCAGGGCTCCCACCCAGGGTCCAGAGGTTTGGGAACCCAAGGAATGGCAAGGGACCCCATCTGGGGGAGACAGAAATGGCATCTGAACAGGGCCTTAAAGGAGGAGTAAGGGTTGTGACACACTGAGGGGCCAAAAATAGGCATTTCAGGCCAAGAACAGCATTCATTCTTCATGCAGTTACCTCCTTTTTGTGTGTCTTCCTCCTCCTGGCATCACCAATCCTGAAGCTCAAACTAGCCCTGTCCTGGTTTCTCCTTGTAGGCCGGCTGGGACTAGGCACCAGGGAGTCCCACAGCTGCCCCCAGCAGGTACCCATGCCCCCAGGACAGGAAGCCCAGCGTGTTGTATGTGGCATTGACTCCTCCATGATCCTCACAGTGCATGGCCGAGCCCTGGCTTGTGGGAGCAACAGGTAAATAGGTGCGCCAGGATTGACTAGCCTGCCCCCTCACCCTCCCTGGCTGTTAATGCTCCATCTGTTGTTACCTACCTCCCACCAAGGATCAGAATTGATAGGCTGAGGGTGCTGCTGGGTTCAACTCAGGGTGGGGTCTGTCCACTGGTTCCTAGCTCCTGCCCAGATACGTGGGGGCAGGACAGTCTATACAAATTGTTGGACTTGGCTCTGGCTCTACCTTAAGGTTCAACAAGCTTGGCCTAGACCATCTCTCTTTAGGGGAGGAGGCTGCCCCTCCCCAGCAAGTGGAGGAGATCCTGAGCTTCATACCACTAGGTTCTACACCCCTGGACCAGGAGCCCCTGCTAAGTGTGGACCTGGGCACTGCTCATTCAGCTGCTGTGACTGGTGAGTAGATTCCGGGCATAGGAGGCCCGAGATGGGTTCTCCTGGCCTCTTCCAGGCCTCAGTCGAGACACCCCTTTTTTACTTTCCTCCCTCCTCTATAGCCTCTGGTGACTGCTACACTTTTGGCAGCAATCAGCATGGGCAGTTGGGCACCAGTGCTCGCCGGGTCAGCCGGGCACCTTGTCAAGTCCAAGGCCTCCAGGGCATCAGGATAGCAATGGTGGCTTGTGGTGATGCCTTCACTGTAGCCATTGGGGCAGGTGATTAATGGGCATTGTGGGGGCAGGTGAGGGTCAGGGCAGGCTTGTGGGCAGTACGGGGTTATCTTGCTCAGGGCTGCTGAACTCAGCAACCTCTTGTTGGGCCAGTATGGCAGTCTAGGATAGCTGCATCCTAAGCTATGTCCTCTTCCCATTTCCCTCCTTGGGGTTCTCTTTGGCAGAAGGTGAAGTGTACTCTTGGGGTAAAGGGGCCCGAGGTCGACTGGGAAGGAGGGATGAGGATGCTGGACTCCCAAAGCCAGTGCAGCTGGATGAGACACACCCCTACACTGTGACTTCTGTGTCCTGTTGCCATGGAAACACTCTCCTGGCTGTTCGCTGTGAGTGGTAACTTTTCCTACCCCACCCCACCTGGCTCCTGCCCACACTCCCATCCCCAGTGGTCATAGCCCAAATCACTAAAAGCATCTCCAGCACCCAGATAGGTGAAAGCAGGAGCTTCAGGTAATATCCAGCTCCCTGCATGGGGTGGGGAAGGGTGAATACTTAGACTCCCTGAAGGGCTGCCTTCACTGCTTCCCAGGGCCCTAATGCATTCTTTCTCCTCTTACCTGTGAGTCCAGTTTATTTTGAAGCCTTTATTTCTGGTCAGGCAGAGCCCAGAGTCCAGTGTGGAGTCGGAGCAGAGGTGGGTGAACTTGCCAGAGGCACTGCCCCTTGGGAAGGAAGCTGCAGAGGTTTCTCTTTTATACCCTCCAGCCATCACAGAAGAACCAGCCCCCCCCTGAGACACCTCGGTACATCTCTGAACCACTCTGATACTGCTTCTGCACTGAATGTTGGGAAGTACAGGTGCCTGAGGCAAGACTATCACCACCAGCCCTCTGTATTGTGATTTCAATGGGGTATAAGAACCAGTGAAGCCCCTGCGCTGCTTTTGGTCCTGTATATTGGAAACCTCCACCCTCCCTGCTCCTCCTACAACTTTTTTTTCTCCTCACCCCTTCTTCTCTTAAGTCAGTTTCCCCAGCGTCCAGCCTGGCTAGGGTTGGAAGCCAAACCAAATCTTTGGAAGTAGGGTGGTATCCCGAGCCTTGGCAGAAAAAGGCTGGAGGTTGCTGTGGATCTACCCAGGCCCTGCCTCTTCTCCCAGCCCAGTTAAAAAGTCTCTGGTACCCACTGGTAGAGCAGCTCAGTGCTTTGGAGCAGGGCAAGCCTGGACTGGCCATTCCAGCTGCCTAGCGTCTGCACTGCCTGAGGAGGGAATGCTGCTGTCTGCCCCCACTCCTAAATCCTGAGGCTGGGATCTGCAAAAACCTCTCGGTGCCTCCCCTCCCCTGCGGGCTGGGGAGTGCATCAGCTGCAAAGTGTCTACTGCAGAGGGGATCCCTGCTGAATGTTGTCCTTCTTTCCCCAGGCCTTCGCCCTAAGCAGAGGGGGGAAAGGGCAGCTGGCCGGAATAGACCAGTTTCCCAGCTGACTGGAAAGTAGTGCCAATAAAAACATAAGTTGCCTGCCTAGAATGTGGTCTCTCCAGGGGTGGGGATGACGGCCTGACACCCCAGGGCGGGGCAGGGCTTGATCTCGATCTTGATCTCGGTTGCTCAGCCCGGTCCAGAGGAATGTGAGCAAAGCCTTAGACTGGGGCTGAGGTTCCTCTGGCACAGCGCCCAGCCTGGCTTCCCCGCCCCAGCCGGGCTCCCGATCTGGTTGCCAGGCTTCGGCTGCCTAGCACCTGGAAGCTGTTGCCCCGGGCCTTTGAGCGACACGTGGCCCCAGAGACTGAGCTGTCCACTCTGGAGAAGTGAACCTTTATGGCGCGGCCAGGCCCGGCACCCGGGTCCCTCCGCCCCACCTAGCGTCAGGTTCCCCCACGTCGAAGCCACAGTCTCTTACAAAGGGGAACGAGGAGCCTGTGCTTCATAAGCAGAAGAGGTTGGCCGTACGCTTACCCGAGGTCGCGAGGTGGGTGGGGAGCCGGGCTGCGGCGGGCACTAGGACCGCGCGGTCGCGGCTCCGCCCCCTCTTCCGGCGGGCGGGCTCGAGGGCTGGGCGCAGGCCGCAGGCCGCTGCCGCCAGTCGGCGCCTCCTGGAGCCTGGAGGTTGGATCGTGTACGGAGCGAGGCGCGGGCTGTGGGGCCGCCGCGTGTCTGGCCCCGCTCGCCCGTGCCCCCCGCTCGCCCGCCCGCACGCCATGCCCGGCTTCGACTACAAGTTTCTGGAGAAGCCCAAGCGGCGGCTGCTGTGTCCGCTGTGCGGGAAGCCCATGCGCGAGCCCGTGCAGGTTTCTACCTGCGGCCACCGCTTCTGCGACACCTGCCTGCAGGAGTTCCTCAGGTGCGGGCCGGGGGTACCGCGGGATGGCCGGTGGTGAGCGTGATGGGGGCCACCGCATGGGGAGGGGCCCAGGCCGGAGGTACGCCGGGCCTTTGTCTGGCGCTGGCACCGTGACCTCAGGGGCGCCCGTCGTGATGTCACGGGGTGGCAGTGACGTCAGGCCCGAGGGAGGACCCCACGCACCAGTTAGTGGGGCCCCGGGTCTCACCGGCGCCCTAGGTCGAAAGAATTCTGTACCTTCCCGCGGGTTGGAGGTGGGAAAAGAGGCCCTTCCTGACCCGAGGCCGGTCCTTCCCCCTCACCTGAGAGCGAGAGCGGCAGCATCCTTCAACTTTGAATCCTTCTGGGAAAAGGACAAAACCCTCTGTCCCGCACAACACCTTACGCCTCCGGAGTTTTCATCCATCTAACCTCGTTTGAGTCTTCCAACATTAACAGAACAGCAGCTATTGTTCTCCCGTTTCACAGGTGATGAAACGAGATTCAAAGAAAGGCGGCAATTTGCCCATGGCCACACCATTACTTAAAGGCATAACTGGGATTTAATCCCCTGCTGCTTGTGGTCACAACCGGGAGGACGGTGATACTGCAGATCTGTCCTGAAGCAGGAACTCTGGGCGTCCCTCCCTGGCCCTGGGGGGTCTTGAGTAATGCAGGTCGTCTATAAGCCTGTACGATGGAGCCTTACTCTGGGTGTAACCGGAGACCCCCTACCCTCGGGGGAGCTAGGTGATCCCTCGGCTCTAGGGCATCCGTTGGGTTCTGGGCACCCTGGGGCTTCTTGAATCTGCTTTCGCTGGGAAGTGCTCAGGTTCGTTCGGGTGTGGGGCGGGAAGGGGGAGGGTCCCGTACTTCTGGGGAGGTCGCTCCCCAAGAGCACAGGGGAAAGGCTGGGTCAGCCATAACCATCTGTCAGCAGGCTCTTTGCAGAGGGGATCCAGGGGCGCAGGCAGGGAATAACGTCTGGGGCTCCGGCCTTCAGTAATCTTTCCCTCCCTTCGTCCTCCACAGCCCCGAGCTGGCGGAAATCTCAGCAGGCTCTTTGTTTTCAGTTCCCCACAGCCTGGGCCGGCTCCTGCCCTCACAGATGCTTCTGCACAAGCTGCTGGGCCGCCCCCTCCTCCTTTTCCCTCACCCTCCTCCCTCCTCTCGCCAGTGTACACACGTACTCCCCCCTACAGACACACAGTCCCATTGTCTTCTCTGGTGCCCTTCTCTGGCCCTCTGGTTTCCAGATGAGGCCAGCTGAGCGTCTCCCCAACACCCCCGCCCCCAGCAGACCCTCCCTGCCTGCTTCAGAGATGGGGCGAGGGGGCTGTCAAGGCCTGTTTCCGTGCATCTCTGCCCCTCCCCCTCCCGGAAATCCCCTCTTCCTCTCCCAGAGTCCCCTCCCCCCATCCTGTTTTATCCCCTGGGCCTGGGCCTCCGCTGCGCAGCCTAGAGCTGTCTGCCTTTACCTCCCCCACTCTCCTACCCTGAGCTGTGCTGCTGAGGCCCCGAAAGGACAGCGTAGTTGGGCGGGCTCTGCTCCTCACCACCACCTCCTACCCTACAAGCAAGGGTGTCCACAGCCCTGGTGGAACCTTTGTCCTGGCTGGGCCCCAAGCAGCTCAGGCTAATCTGAAGCCTGGGGACTCGCCTCAGTCCCCTCCCTGTCTCCAAAACCAGTAAGTCAGCACATTCCTGAAGCAGCCCAGCAGACCCCCTCCCCCGTGGCCCACCCCTCTTTCCTCATTCCCGCCAGGGCTATTACTCAGGTTGGTCCAGGAAGGCTGGTTGCCCTGTGGGCAGAGGCACAGCTCAGTGCCTGGGCATGTATTATCGGTATTGGCGGCGTGTCCCTGGATAGCAGTGGAGTTGAGGGGAGGAGGTGGATACTAGAGGTCTGTGGGCACCTGAAGCATTCAGTTCCTGCAAAGTGCCATCATGGACAGGGCTGCCATGTGGCTACTGCCTTGATCCCTGCCTGCCTCCCACCTCCCTGACTCAGACCTGCCAGGAATGCCGTGCCCAAGGGCTTTCAGTCCTGCTGGGTTAGCCCTTGCCCAGACTAGGTCACACCAGGTGTCCATGACTGGTCCTGGCCAGGGTCAGCAAGGCCATGTTGGTGGAAGGAGGCCTGCCAGCTGGTTCCTAGGTGCTCACAGTCTGGCGGGGATTGGTGGAGGACGGCAGCGGGCAGGGTCAGTAAACTGCAGATTCATGCCTTGCAGTGATCAGTCTTGGCTGTGCTTGCCTAGACATTTTTTTTTTTTGCTCAGCCTTTTCTGTGTGCTGCAAAGTGTAGTAGAACCTATCCGAACTGTGGAGTCAGATGTATCCAGGTGCTCCTTCACCTGTGAGTTTCAGTTCATTCATCTGCAAAATGGGGACACTGAACCCCCCTTCTTAGAGGCAGGAGGTGAAGACTGGATGGGCACGTAAACAGTGCCTTGGAGTGAGCTTTTCTTTGCTTTAGGAGACACACCCTTACAGGTGGAGGGAAGGGATGGGGTGAGGTGGCCCCAAGCTGACCTTTGCCCTGGGTTCTTGGCCCAGCACTTGATCTCAGCCCCTCCCTGCTCACCCACCACCCCCTATCCGCTTTCAGTCCAGCGAATGATAAACTAGCCTGAGGCGGGGGTCGAGGGAGGGTTGGCTGGGCAGCCTGTTCTTTTCTAGTGCAGCTGCCTTCCTGGGGGGAGGGGTGCCAGCTGCCACCTGTTAGACAAATGCTGTCTGAGGCAGCTGTCTCTGCCTCCACTAGGCCCAGAACCCCCCACGGTGGAACAAGAGCTGGGGTCCTGTGGAAGTGGGTACCCTCAGGCCTCTGCTTGCCCTCTTGTCTCAGGTGGGGCTGGCTAGGAACCGGTCTGGTGAGGGAGGGAGGGAGGCTGCCCTGGTTGAGAGGGTGGGGCCCAGGTCCTGCCAGTACTGTGAAGCCTTGACCCTGTACCCTCCCACTTCACAGTGAAGGAGTCTTCAAATGCCCTGAGGACCAACTTCCTCTAGACTATGCCAAGGTGAGTCCACAGTGCCAGGCAGAGGCCCAGGTTACAGGCTGTTGCCCTTGGTGGAGCCTGAAGCTGCTGGCAGCCAGTGGGCTTAAGGCCAATGTCAACTCAGTGCTGCAGAATCATGCACCCCCACAAAGGTGGCCTGTTCTCTCCCACCAGGCTAGTTTGCAAATGAGTCCAGTGTTTGCCCTGGAGGGCAGGCACAGTGCCCAGCCAGTGGGGGTGCACAAGAGCTGCTCTGTGCCCACAAGAAGTGCTCCCCTCCCCTTCAGGTGGCAAGCCAGACCTGTGCTGAGGGCCAGGACCCCTCTACCAGTGGAAGGAAGCAGAGGGTATGGGAGCTGCTTGGGACTGAGCAGGCTAATTGGCTGCCACTCAAAAGGGGAGTGTCATGTGCCGGCATGTTGAGAACCCTGGGACCCAGTTTGGAGCATATAGCACCTGCTGTGCCCATCATCCCTGGATACTGAGGGAATACAGTTCAAGAAAGGGTGGTGCTGGCTTTAAGGTAGACTGCGCTGTTTGGGAGTGGAGGGGGTAGGCACCAGGGACTGTAGCAGGCGCTGACCCTGACCAGTTCCCCCACATCCCTGTCCACAGATCTACCCAGACCCAGAGCTGGAGGTACAGGTGTTGGGCCTGCCTATCCGCTGCATCCACAGTGAAGAGGGCTGCCGCTGGAGTGGGCCCCTTCGCCATCTCCAGGTAAGCCTGGGCGGGGAAGGCTACCCCTACCCGCCCCTTGGCAGACACTCACTGCAGTCCTTCCCAGCAGGGCCACCTGAACACTTGCAGCTTCAATGTTGTCCCTTGCCCCAATCGCTGCCCCACCAAGCTGAGTCGCCGGGACCTGCCTGCACACTTGCAGCACGATTGCCCCAAGCGGCGCCTCAAGTGCGAATTTTGTGGCTGTGACTTCAGTGGGGAGGCCTTTGAGGTGGGTGGGGTATGGCTAAGGGTAGAGGGAGAGTGGGGTACCTGGTGGCCTGGAGATCCCTTAACGCACCCCTTCTGGCATTTGCAGAACCACGAGGGCGTGTGCCCCCAAGAGAGTGTGTACTGTGAGAACAAGTGTGGTGCTCGCATGATGCGGCGACTGCTGGCCCAGCATGCCACCTCTGAGTGCCCCAAGCGCACCCAACCTTGCACCTACTGCACCAAGGAGTTCGTGTTTGACACCATCCAGGTGAGGCCCTTCCTGAGCAGTGGGCTGTGGGGTACGTAGCAGGGAGTCAGGCTACTGACTGCTGTCTCTCTCCCTCTGTGGCCTAGAGCCACCAGTATCAGTGCCCGCGGCTGCCTGTGCCCTGTCCCAACCAGTGTGGTGTGGGCACTGTGGCTCGGGAGGACCTGCCAGGCCACTTGAAGGACAGCTGTAGCACTGCCCTGGTGCTGTGTCCATTCAAAGACTCCGGCTGCAAGCACAGGGTGAGATGCCCCTCCTTCCTGTCAGCCCCCTTCTAGGTCCTGGAAGCCTCAGTGCAGATCAGGCCCTTGGTCCCTGCTCTGCTCCTCTGAAGCCTTCCCTTTCCTGGCCAGCTCCAGCTACCTCCTAGTGCCCTCTGTCTTCCTCATGCAAAGCTGGGTGCCTACCACCCTGTACCTACTCATCCCCTCTCCTCTGGGCCTGCCCCTACTGATAACTCTCCTCCCTTCCCCCATGGCCTGGGGCTTTGCCAACAGTGCCCTAAGCTGGCAATGGCACGGCACGTGGAGGAGAGTGTGAAGCCACATCTGGCTATGATGTGCGCTCTGGTGAGCCGGCAACGGCAGGAGCTGCAGGACCTGCGGCGAGAGCTGGAAGAGCTGTCAGTGGGCAGCGATGGCATGCTCATCTGGAAGATTGGTAGCTATGGACGTCGGCTACAGGAGGCCAAAGCCAAGCCCAACCTTGAGTGCTTCAGCCCGGCCTTCTACACACATAAGTATGGCTACAAGCTGCAGGTGTCTGCATTCCTCAATGGCAATGGCAGTGGTGAGGGCACACATCTCTCACTCTACATTCGCGTGCTGCCAGGTGCTTTTGACAATCTCCTGGAGTGGCCCTTTGCCCGCCGTGTCACCTTCTCCCTGCTGGATCAGAGCGACCCTGGGCTGGCCAAGCCACAGCATGTCACTGAGACCTTTCACCCTGACCCTAACTGGAAGAATTTTCAAAAACCAGGCACTTGGCGGGGGTCCCTGGATGAGAGTTCTCTAGGCTTTGGTTACCCCAAGTTCATCTCTCACCAGGATATCCGCAAGCGAAACTATGTGCGGGATGATGCAGTCTTCATCCGTGCCTCTGTTGAATTGCCCCGAAAGATCCTCAGCTGAGTGCAGAAGGGGATGCAGGAGAAAGTGGGGTGGCACATGACCTCAGTCAAGCATGAACCTGGAGAGGGGGCTGGACCTCCTTTCAGCTGCTTCTGCCTAGGTTCTGTTACCCCACTCCTACCCCTTTGCTACCACCCTCAGGTACCTCCTATTGGTGCTTCAGTCCTGGCCTTTGGGGAGCAGGTCTTGGGGTCCTCAAGGGCTTGGAACAAGTGATCCCAAGGCCTGTCTCCTCTCCCAGGCAAGGCATACAGGCCTTGGTGCAGCCACACACTACCCTGAGCTGAGGGGCCTGCTGGTGATTTGTCCCAAGAGCCATAGTGGGGAGAGGGAGGGAGAGTTGGGAAAGTGAGGGGTAGTTAAAATAATCTCATTGAGATCTGATTTCTCTTCCCCTTTCTCCAGCTGTGCTCCCTCTAGTTATTTATTTACTTAGTGCCAGAGCACAGCAGGGGAGCCTGATTTTTAATAAAGCCTCGACTATTTATTAAATTGGTTCCAGCCTGACTCGTCTGGGTTGGTTGGTATCCTGGGAGGCTGGGCCCCAATATGAAGGCACAGAACCCAAGACTGGCAGCTACCACTCTGGCCCCAGGATTCAGCTGCAGGGCTTTGATCACCCTCTGGTGGACCCATGGAGCTGCATCCAGCAGTGTGTGGAAGACAGATGCCTGCTGCTTCCCTCTAGTGGTTACATGGGGAAGTGTGGGCTCTGGACATTTCACTAGGCTCGAGGCCCGGATTTCACGCCCTGCAGAAGACGAGTGCCTCTGCACTGGGCAGGTCTGTTTTGGTCTAATGATAATCAGCTACGCTTTATTGAGTACTTTCATGTGGCGGAGTAGTAAGCACTTTACCTGTCATTCCATTTAGTACAACAGGCAAGTGAAAACTTTATCACCATTATAAAGGACCTTAGTGGGCTGTAGTGATTTAATGAGACATGTTTGCACCACAAAACACGTGCTTAGTGAATGCTAATCTAACTCCAAAACCCAGCCCACACCCTGAGACAGCAGAACAAAGGGACCTTCGAGTTACACACCACTTTGGCTGTATAAGTGGGGCATCCACACTCATTTGCTTTTTACACAGCATCGCTGCCTGTGATTCTCTGATGAAAATAGGAATGAAGAGACTTATCAAGCTGGTCTGGGGCAGGGCCTGGATTGTTTTGAAAGCTCCAGCAATCTTGATATACAGCTCCCTTTAATTTGGACAATAGATTTGGATTTGGATCTTCGCTGTGCCTGCTTCTGGTGTAAATTACTGAGCCGTCATGGCATCTATTCCCATTGGTAAAATGAGTAATCCTGCTTACTGAGGTTGTAAAGATTAATCATTATATGTCTTACCCTTGCCTGGCCCTGAGAGGATCAGTATATGGAAACTATTGTCTGTTAGGGAGAGGTTCAAGGGCTGTAGTTCTTGGTTTCTCCACTCCCCCCACACACAGACTGATGTGAAAAGATATGTTACCAGGTGATAGGAAAGGACATAACCAGCCAATGGAACTAACCACCAGTTTAGCCTTCGAAAAGGTCAAATTCATTAATCTAGAGGGAAATGGGCCCTGGCTGCTATGCTGAGTCAAGACAGCCCTCCACCAGATAAAACCATCTTGGTACAGTGAACTGGAAGGTGGTACGGAAAATTGAACTCTGACAGAGGGAAAGGCCTTCACTTAAGACAAAAGGGGAAGTTTTCTAATAACGTAAGGTTCAGATCAAGGGGGCCACTTTACATGTTACAGATTATAGCACCTAATTTCTGTGGTCCTGAGAAATTCCAAAGTTGGAGGTGGGAAAAGGGGTGGGATGTATAATCTTAAATTGGCTTTTTAGCAAGCTAGATGGCCCATTTTCCATGACTGATGGTCCTTGAGTAGAACTGGCAATACACTCGCAGCCTCCTGCAGAGGGCAGCCAACTGCACTTACCTATCAAATCCCACCATGCCCCTCACAGCCCTGCCTGGGGCCAAGGCCCAGCAGCTGACTGGGCCATCTACTCCCTGCCTCACCATCACCACAGCACCCGGGATAATGGTTTGGGAGGGCTTCTGAGTGGAATGACTACTATAGGGATCCCCTCTTAACAATGAGGAATTACTTCACTTCTAGTAAATGAGATGTGAGAAACCATTAAGAAAAATTACCTCAAACATTCACAGCATTAAACGAATAGGACAAGATCCAAAGGTGCGTTTTCCTTTTTACTGGTTCATAATAATCTTAAAAACCCCATCACACCCATAAACCACCACAGGTGAGAAGATGAGGGAGATGGAGAATGAATGCTACAGTAGTGGACAGTGTGGAAATCCAGGTATCCCCTAGGGGCAGTGGGGGCAGTATGGAGGCAGGGAGCATGGATAGGAGGCCCTGGCTTGGACCCTTATTGCTGGTTGGGGGTTGTCTGGCAGAGAGGGAGAGGGGCTCAGGGTGAACTAGGAAACATCTCACACCAAAGGCAAAGGCAGTCGGGGGGGTGGGGTCACAGTACATTTTCCATGCAGACTAGGGGTGGGAGTGAGAGCTTCAGAGACTTGCACCCCTACACGGGAAGAGATGGGCTTGAGGTTTGGTTTAAAGCCCCCAAGTTGGTGTCTGGTCCAGTATCCTAAAAGGGCAGCTCACCTTTCGGGGAGAGGCATTGGGAAAAATTACATTGAAAATATCTGGTTTGGAGGTCAAGCAGGGACAAGGGAGACGGTGGTGCTCTTTAAATTTAACTCAGAGAAGCGAGAACTGGAAGGGGGCCCTGGGTGAGATGGTGGCCAACACCTTGGGAAAAGGCATTGCAACAGAAGCTGTAGGTGCTCCCGAGAGCTCAGGAGAGGGAGGTACCAGTGTTCACAGAGTGTTCACAGGAAAACAATGGGGAAAAATAAATTAGGACTTTGTGATGCTATCATTTGGCATAACACAATTAGACATTTCTTTTTTTTCCCCTCTTTTTTTTAAATATAAGGCAACTTGCCAACACATAATTTAAAAACTGGTCTTCAGTCACATTGCTTCAGATCACTAGGGAATTTCTGGCTAAAGAACAGTGGATAGTATACTAAGCAAACCCAAAATCTTAAATAAGAACATCAGGTCACATTCCCCAGAGACAAGAGGAAAGGTAGTAAGGGCTTATTGGTTAAAAAAAAAAAAAAAAGAGCCCAACTATTCATCTTAAACAGAAGGGTGCAAAAATTACAAAACATCTAAATTTAAAGTTACAGAAAAGTTTTAAATTTCTAGCCAACTAATTGCCACTTGGTTAACGAGACAGTTGAGCATGGAGTGAATGGGGGTATGTGCGAAGAATGGGCAAGGGGGCCGGAGGAGCTGTTCCAATGTAGGCCCACCTCCGGCTGTTAGAACCATGCTCATGTGGTAAAGGAATTCAAAGAGCTTAAGGCTTTGTGTTTTTTTCTTTCTTCACTAAACTGAGGGGCTGCGAAAGGAGGTGACTAGAGGATGAATGTACCTGTGGGGCCACTCACACAATGCTACTCAAACCCACATGACATTCATACAGTAACAGGACGTTTAAAACTTACAGTGTAGAGCAATATTCTTAGCCAGTGTAGAGAACCAAATGCATCTTAACTTTTTTTTTTTGGTGTTTTTTAATTCCAAACTCCAATGTGATCATCCCTTACCTACCTAATTCCTCAAGATTTCATTTTGTTTTGCTTGTTTTGGGGAGAGGATAGGGGATAAGGGTAACAGTGAGAAAGGGATCTTGGGTATGCTGGATGGTCACTGCATTTCTCTAGGGCTGGAAAGGGGAGAGAGGTGCCAGGATATCAATATATAAAGATAGATTTTTCCCCATGCCTCAAGGCTATAGCCCCATGCCTGCAGGATGCCCTTGAGAGTGTGGCAAGAACAAGGGCAGTATATCTAGGATCATGGCAGATGTCAAACAGTCTTATGGAATGGAGAAGCGCTGGGAGGAGATGGAAGACTGGGTCGGTTTTGCTTTGAAGTTTTTGGGAGACTAAGGAACTTGCTTCCAGAGCACTTGGGAAGTCTGGCTTCTTCATCTCAAAAGACAGACAGGGAGAGGCCTAGCTTAGCAGGCTGGGCACCTAAAGCTCCTCACCTGGAGCCCTTCCCTAACCCACACCTCAGTCCTGAGGGGAAAAGGCAGAGGAGCAGGAAGAGGGCTAAGGGGGAGGGACTTGACTGAGAGGCCAGAAGAAGAGAGAAGTCTGGGGTTGGGGTTAGGTCCCAACATAAACCCAAATGCTGCTAGGGCTAATGGAGAGAATGATGAGGGCACAGAGGACCCCTCTCTGTCCTCAATCAGATCCCACCAAATTCCCTTTCAGACATCTAAGAATGATCACATTGGAAGAGCAAAACTTTCAAACTATCCAGTTACTCAAAATAAAGACTAAACCTAGGAGAGTGATGTATGATGTGTAGCTTGTGGAGGGCACCAGGGCTACCTATCTATACCCAGGGTGCTGAATATGAAGATTTCGACTATCTGTGGGATCAGGGGCTCGGTTGCCAGGGACTCGGTGGGCCTTGCTCAACATGGCCAGGCTCTGTTCTCGGAAGCAGGCCTGCTGGAAATCCCCACTTAGGTAATCCACCGTTTGTATCAAGCTGTTCTGGCTTGCCACTGAACTGCCCCCAGTCCCTGCTCGGTAGTGGGCCCCAGCAGCCGTCCCACAGTCGAGGGGTGCACCTGTGGGCTGCCCACCATGGAATGGCATGGCGAGGTCCTGAGACCCCGAGCTGTCGCTATTGGGAGTGGGCAGAATGTTGTTCCACAGGGGCTGGAAGTAGTGACCATTGGGGTAGGCCAGTGGGGCTGCCAGGCCGTTGACTGGTGGGGATGGGGTTGGCTTCTCCAGGGGTGGCTTCAGATGGAAGGACTGTGCCAGGCAGAGTTCCTGCGGGTAGGCAGGGGCCTTGCCCACAAAGCCAGGCCCTGCCAACTCGCATCCTGCTGCATGTTTGCCTGTCAGGCTAGGGGCTGGTGTCCCACCAGCCTCACTGCACATCTGTTGTAGGTGGGCCAGCTGATGCTGGTTCCAGGCGACTGGCTTGAGGTCGCTAGGGTAGCCAGTGGGGGCTCGAGAGATGCCTGTGGGCAGGTTGACAGAGCCTGCAGCAGGCAATGCGGCTGTGGCCGCATGGGTGTGCTCCATGGGATTGACCACACAGGAAGGCATTGGTGTGGGGACGCTGTGGGTCGACACCCGGGTGCTTGCATTGATGAGCAGACTGCGACTAATGGGGCTGGGGTTGGCGATCTGGCCCTCACACACTGAGGTAGTGCTGATGCCTGCCCTCGTCTGGCAAAACTGGTTGATCTGGTGCACGATGCTGCTCAGGTCCGGGGGCTGGCTGTGCTGCAGGGTGGCCGCCATTGAAAGGGGGATAGTTGAGGTAGACACGGTCACATTTGGGGGAGCATCTGAGTCTGGCATCTTCCGGCCCCCATGCAGCAAGGGATTCGGGGGGTGCTGGAGACCCTGGTGAGACAGGGCCTGAGGGTGGACCAAGCCCTGGGTTTGGGCCAGGGGCTGAGGGTGGCCCAGACCCTGAGGCTGCTGGAGGCTCTGAGGGTGGGACAGTGCCTGGGGTGGCGGGATACCCTGAGGGTGCTGCAGAGTCTGGGGAGGGACATGGGCCAGGGTCTGTGCATGCTGCAGGGCCTGCTGGCGGGCCAGAGCCTGGGCCTGGGGGTGGGCTAAAGTGCTGGGTGCCACAGTAGCATAGGGTGCTACCGGGGGGTTCATGATGGCCTCGGGGAGCAACCGGGCTCGGGTGCCGTCAAAGTCCTTGAGTATGCTTTTGGCTGGCACTTTGACAATAGCAAGCAGGCCTGCCTTGGTGGTGGCAGCCTGAGTCGGGTAGGGGCTGTAGCGCTGGGCTGATGTGTCGAGGCCGTTCACAGTACGACGAACGTGTTTCCGCTGGGGAACCTTCACACTGTTGGGGAAGATTTTTATAGTCAGTGGGTTGTTTGCGACCTTCTTAGCATACGCGTCCAATTCGGCTGGGGTAGGATAGTGAGCAGTTCTCATTTTCTGTGTAGTGTCCCCTAGAGAGAGAGAAGGAGAAGGAGAGCAAAGAAGGAGAGGGAGCTCATCAGTGCCAAGCCAAGCAGCCCTTCTAGATTCCCCTCTGAAGGCCTAGGGTAGGGGGTGGATAACAAAGCTGTCATCCCTCGTCTTCATTTCAGACGAAGCCTCAGTCTCCACACAACACCCTAGTAAAAAGAGCACCCAGGGTGACTACACTTCAGTTTGCAGTGGCCAGGGAGGCATCAGCTTTCTCTTTTGCCTTGGCAGCTAGGGTGCCATGTCCACTGGGTGGGCATCCTGGCACAGCAAACAGGATGCTTCTCTTTCAGGAGCAGAGGAATAAGCTGCTACTAGCCCTCCCCTAACCTCGGGTCACAAGTTCACTTTTGTTTACAGCTTACTCTGCCTGACTGGGTGAGGATCAAAAGGCTTTTATTTATTTCCTTGTGGGGTGGGTGACAATAACAGGGCAGCAGGGAGAGATGAGGAGAAAGGATTCAGAGAGTCTTAGTCCTGAGAGCTAAAAATAGTCTGTATTCGGCCCTTGTCAGCTGTCACTTTCCAAAATGAAAGAGGAAAAACCTGCCTGTCTTTGGAGACTGCGTTAAGACCCGCTCAATGCGCCTCATTTAATGTTAACAGTCTCTTTGTTCCATCAGGGGGCTCCAGCAGATGTCGCACTTCCAGCCAAAGGAAAAGGTTCAGAGAACAAGAGCCCTTTAAAGATGCTGGGCTCCTACAGGGGTCCTCTGCTCTGTTCTCCCTCTCTCTGAGGCAGGGTCTGCCCTGAGTATACACAGAAGGTGCTTAATAAAGGCTTGCTGGGTGAGTAAGTACACAGACTGCCCAGAGCAGAAGTAAAGGGTCTTGGCTGGGAACCTAGGCTCAGCTAGCTGACTCCCGACCTATTTCCTCCATTCACAGAAGGCAGCCAGGAAAGACTAAGGACTAAGCTGACAGAATGCCCGGCTATGGCCTCAGCTGGCTTGGCTCAAAGGAGACTCCATTCAAAGTCACATCACTAGGCATCAGCTGGAACAGAAGTGAACAGAAGTGTTAGAAGGAAAAGGGCACTGCTTAGAAAATGCTGCTCTTGAAAACAGGAAAAGAAAGTTCAAGTCAGAAGGGGCAGACAGACTGAGTCCCAGTTCAACACAGCAGAACTTAGCAAAAAGGGCACAGAAAGGAAAAGGTCTGTGCTCTCATGGGCATAATGCTTTGAGCATAGCAGGCACTCCCACATTACGTTTTGCTTTATTTACTGAGTATAGAATAGATGCTCCATTCTTAAGTGATACGTCTGTAAGACAACTGATTTGGAGAAAGTCTTAAAAGGATGATGTGACTGGTGACAATTGAGGGCAGGAAGCAGGAGGCAGAGAAGCTCCTTGAATGACAGAACCCTTTGTTCCAAGTCAGTACCGGCTCTCATGTTGTTTCTAGCAGAGGCAGAAGGCAGGTTGTCCTCATTCAGGAGTATGGAATGGGGCACTTAAACTGATTAGTTCTCTTTGTGCTGCCTCTATTGATGCTGACAACAGTGCTGAGGGCAGTCAAACAATAGGATCAGAATCAAAGAGGATAATTCAAATAACAGGATCAGAATCAAAGAGGATAATTAGAACAACAAAATATGCAACTAAGTATACACATTTTTTGACATTTGTTACAAATGGTGTAGTAATTGATAACATGGGATTTGGAGCCAGACCAACTGGGTGTATGTAAATTCTAGTTCTGCTACCCTGGAGAAGTCACCAGCTGTAAGAGTTGAAGATTCCTCAGGGTAAAAGGGGGGGACTGGAATAGGTGTTTGTTAGGATTAACTTAACTTGAGAGAAATTAAACTGAATTAAATGTATATATGTATACTATTTATCCATCCATGCCTCCCACACAGCAAAAACCCAATAAATGCTAGTTATTGTTACCAGTGTGACAAAAAAAAAAAAAAAATCAAAGGGGAGGGTAGGCACAGGCTACAGGATCTTTGTGAAGGAAGAATCTCAAAGATTGATGAGTGTGCTGGACAAGACAGAGACCACATTCTGAGTCCAGCAAGTGGTTCACCCTTTATTCTGAAAGGTAACACTGGGGACATATGCAGCAGGAACTCTATCTTTAGGTGGAAAGGCACAGCGCCTGTGTTTCAAACAGTCTGACCCAAGTGAGTTCTAGCCCAATGTTGTTGTTGGCAAGTGACAGACACTCTATGCCTCATCCTTAAAAGAAAGATGAGAATCCCCCATGTGGAATTATTGAGAAATGAGTAAGAACATATATAAAAATACTCAAGACAGCTCCTGGCATATTGTAGGCACTAAACAAATGTTAATCTTACCGATATTTCTGATTATCAACTGGGCCAATTGACCATTTCCAAGCCCTTCCACTAGGGGGCAGAGAGACATACAAAGAAGCAGTAAAAGAAGGTAATTTTGACATATGTCCCAGGCCCCAGGACTCTACAATGAAGGAGGTCAAAGTTGTTGTCTGAAAGATCTGGGGACCAAGGACCCTTCAGCCATTCATCTGGAAATATTTACTGAGACACTATTATACCTGACTGTGAGCTGGTGATATAAGAGCAGAAGCAAGGGGTTAATGAAGAGAAAACGGGTCAAAGGAAAACAAATTTTCCAAGTACAGAGTTCCAAACGGCTGGGGACTCCTAAAGCAAGTGATATACTGGAATACACAATCTGGAAAAGCTCTGGGAGGGCATCCAACTAATGCCAACTGTGGTCCTCTACCAAGTCCTCTACCTTACCCAAAGCCAAGATTTTATTTAATCCCATCTGCTCTATGGCAAATTACAATCTAAGATGGGAAATGCATTACATTCTCCTATACACTTAGGAAAGGAAGAGAAGAGAAAATGTTAGAGTTAGAATGGATCAATCCTGTATTTCTGCACATACAGTGGCTTAAGCCAAGAGAAAATGATTAGCCAGGAGACTTCCAGTGCTGGGCCAAGAAGCCACATATCCCATCTCCTGATCCCTGATCCACCTTTCCCTGCCTTCAGCTGACACTGACAATATAAAGCACATTAAGTTATAAGCTTCTGTACCCAACTCCACCCCACCAGATACAAAGTTCTGTGTTTCTAGCAACTTACAATACCCTCTCAAGGTTTGGGGGTGGGGGTAAGGAAGGGAAGAGCTGAATAGCAGAGTTGCAAAACTGATATTAAGGTCTCTGTAGCTGATATGCCTGGGCTCTGAGCAGCTTTTTGGCTACTGGTTCCCAAAGAAGACAGCTTATATTCTATTTCATCTTAACTGTAAATGTTTTAATGCAACAGCTCTAAGTCACATGACAGGTTTTTTTTTCCTTAAATGTTTTGGGAGAGGAGAGAAGAAAGCAAGCAAGCTTGAAAACACCACTGGGCTTTCTCTTCTGCAAAAGTTTGAATGTAGTTAAGGGTAGCAACAAGAGAGTCAAAAGGATTTAAATACAACATCCCTCAAAAGGACAGGTGAGCCTGAAACCAATAAGAAGGATATCTCAATTGCTCAGTAAAGATTTGGAGACAGTGGGTAGCAGAGGCTACTTTGGGGCTGCTTTGAAAAGGATCAGTGGAAATCTAAAGATAAAGCACCTAAGATAAAGCTGCCAATCTGCCTTTCTCCCAAATGGCTCACCCCTTGGTATCACATCTCTGGTGAAGTTGTCAGAGTATGTTAAGGAACCTAGAAGAAAGTCAGTGAGCTGTTTTTGGTCATCTTATTGTATACTTCCAAATGTGCGCCCTCTTCAGTTGTGTTCCAGAAGTCCAGCACCAGTTAGCAGTTAGCATGCAGATTTGGGCAACCAGGGAGCACACACAACTTCATTACCCAATCATCATTTACTAAGAAAAAGGCTGGGGAAAAGCTGGTACAGCTGAGTTTGCTGGTAGTGTCAGGCAGTTGCAGAAAGAAAATGATCACCTTTAGCTTTGTCATGCAAGTTGGGATTCATTGCCCAAATTCCAGAACTAGCCAGCCTTATTCTCCCTCAAAGAAAGGAAGTCAAGAGGCTAGACCATTTTAATTTCTGAGGATGATCGCATAGAGCAAGGGTTGGCAAACCACAGCCTACAGGACAAATCCAGTTGCTGTGTTCTCATAAAAAGTTTTATTGGAGCACAGCCACACTCATTTGTTTACATATTGTCTTCAGCTGCCTTTGCCCTCCAATATAGCACAGTTGAGTAGATGTAACAGAGATCATATGGCCCAAAAAACCTAAAATATTTGTTATCTAACCCTTTAACAAAAAAGTTTGCCAACTCATCATAAAGGATTTGGTAACATGCTGAAGCACCTTCTCTACTACATGGTAAGCCTAGACACCTTATCGATTTCCCTCTTTTTGCTATGAAAAGAAGGTTTGTTCCAAATTTAGGGCCATTTTTACATCTGAAGATAATGTACATGGTAACAAGTCAGGAACAGAATCTTTTCATTGCATTCCATGTAGTACATGGATAGATGGTAGGAATCTGGGAAAACATGAGGTATGAAGCTCCAGTTCCAGTCAATTTAAGACATGATAACAGTTCTCAAAAGCTCAATCTTGTGGGAAGTATATTAGCAGGAATATGTCCAGACTGAGAAAGCTATCCCTGTCCCTTCTGGAGGTGAAAGCTTCTTTACTTGCTGTCAACTGAAGTCACTGGCTCAGAAGGCAGACAGCAAAGCCAAAGGAAACTGTTTCCATGGTAGAGCGTGTTCAGAGAGCTCAAAACAACAGAATAGTACAAACAGTTTGCTTCAGAAATACAGTACGTAATCTGGACTATGAGTTTTCATTCAATTCTTCATGGGGGTTCAAAATGAAATCCTTCTTTCGAAGGGTGTTACACAACTAACCCTTGAACAACATGGGTTTGAACTGCACAGGTCCACCTACCTATATATAGATTTTTTTTCAGTAAACATATTGGGAAATTTTCAGGAGATTTGTGACAATTTGAAAATACAGACAACAGTGTGACCTAAAAATATCATAAAAATTGAGAAAATGTTATACATATCATGAATGCATAAAATATATGTAGATACTAGTCTATTTTATCATTTCTACCATAAAATCAACAGCAGGCTACTAGTAGTTAAGTTGTGGGGGAGTCAAAACTATATGCAGATTTCCAACTGTGAGAGGGTTCAGTGCCCATAACCCCACCCCCCCCCCCCCACACACACACACATATATATATATTGTCTCACATTGTTGACAAGTTTTGCAGCTGTTTTCTTGCTGTCTATGCTGAAGACTATCTTGGAGGTACTAAAGCTCAAGGTCAATGTACCCCAGATGTGCCTCTGGGACAGTCTAAACTAGAGACAAAATAAAGGACCACATCCCTTCCTTGAGATCCAGATTACTTACATTTCTGAAGTCCAGTGTTCATCTGCGTGTGAGAAAGAAGCTGAAAGGACAGGTCACCTGGCCCTGGTAGACAGGCTAGCATGGCAGACTGGCATCAACACAACATGGGGCAGCCATTCACACTGTAAGGAACAAAAAAAACAAGGTCATGGAGTCACGCAACTAAGGGAGGACACCAGGGACAGCAGATGTGAGCAGCAGAGGCCCAAGTTTAGATAGATCAGCAATTTAATTAGCAGCATATTGGTTCAAAATGTATCTGTATCTTTACCTGTGGCAACAATCTGTTCCCAACTATTACTATGGCTAAGATGATACTTCAGTCAGCACAGATAAGTGGGTAGAGAAAATACAAACTGGGAAATACTTATCTGCTGAAATAACTGGAAAATACAGGGGCATCTGTAAGATCCTTTATGCTCACAAGCTACAGATGTACTCATTTGGCATTTGCATTTTTGTAGATGGCCTCTCCCTACTGTTTTTGGATAGGTCCATGGGACTGCCAGAAAAACTGCATGCTGATCCTCATCGTGCCCCAGCTATGGCAGGAGCAGAAAGGCTTGGGCACATTCTAAGGGAAAGATGATTTCTCCCTGAAAACAGAAACACATTCCTGAAGAGAGCTGGCCCTCACAGGGCTTAGCTCAGTCTATTTACAGTCCTGGTTGGGAGCCCAGGCAGTCAGACATTTCCAGGGTTAGAACAGTATATGAGCTGCAAAGGCACACCAAGTCCAATATGTGACCCCATTAATCTGAACTCTTTAAAAAGGAAGAAGGAGCTAAAGCATCCTAGGAAACACAATTAACTACTGTTAAAGCATATCGTAAGTTTTTGGGAACTCACCTTTCCTATAGCCTATCACACAATTAGACCTTCTGGACCCAAAAAAGAAAAAAAAAAAGCCCATTGCTCTCAGAGTAAATCAAGGAGGTAGTTAGTGTATAGGCTTCCAGCAATCTTCTTTGGGCAGGCGATCCTGACATTGTGTCATGATGGCATGGTTTTGTCAGTGATATCTATCAGTAAGATACACACAACCCAGGCAAGTAGACATTGGTGTGGCCTTTTGTAGGCAAGGAAGCCTTGTCAACAATGCAACCTCCCTGAATACCAAGGACCAACTTTTCTCAAGTATAATTTACTTAAGCATGAAATTCTTTTCCCATATTGCAAAACCCAGAGATCAAGGTGACATATTAAGGCTTTAGATTACAACAAAAGAGAAATCGGTGGCACAGCCAACTGTTAAAGACTACAAAACCTCTTTCTTTCTCTTAGAGGATCCTCTCAGGTATGTGAAACTACCTTGTCATGATGCGCACCAGAGAGCTCTAGTATGCAAGACCAGGTAGCTGAAAAGATACTCTGTAAAAGAGGCTGCTCAAACTATGTCTAAGATAGCAACTGCAGAAAGGACTGAAGATTGAATGCCTCAGTAAGAATACAGCTGCCCAAGAGTTCTGGCACAGATTCAGTTCTTTTTAGGTCTCTGGTGGGTAGGGTAACAGAATGAACAGTGTGCCAATTGCAGTGCCTCAAGAAATAAAAAGAACAGACACATGTAAAGATGCTCCACATCACTAATCATCAGGGAAATGCAAATTAAAACCACAATGAGATACCACCTCACACCAGTAAGGATGGCCAGCATCGAAAAGACTAAGAACAACAAATGCTGGCGAGGATGCAGAGAAAGGGGAACCCTCCTACACTGCAGGTGGAAATGTAAACTAGTTTAACCATTGGAAAGCAATATGGAGGTTCCTCAAAAAACTAAAAATAGAAATACCATTTGACCCACTCCTTGGAATTTACCCAAAGAATACAACTTCTCAGATTCAAAAAGACATATGCACCCCTATGTTTATCGCAGCACTTTTTACAATAGCCAAGATATGGAAGCAACCTAAGTGTCCATCTGTAGATGAATGGATAAAGAAGATGTGGTACATATACACAATGGAATACTATTTGGCCATAAGAAAGAAACAAATCCTACCATTTGCAACAACATGGATGGAGCTGGAGGACATTATGCTCAGTGAAATAAGCCAAGCAGAGAAAGACAAGTGCCAAATGATTTCCCTCATTTGTGGAGTATAACAATGAAGCAAAACTGAAGGAACAAAATAGCAGCAGACTCACGGACTCCAAGAAGGAACTAGTGGTTACCAAAGGGGAGGGGTGTGGGAGGGGGTGGGTGGGGAGGCAGGGAGAAGGGGATTGAGGGGTAGTATGTTTAGTACCCATGGTGTGGGGGATCACAGGGAGAACAGTGCAGCACAGAGAAGGCAGAGTAGATCTGTGGCATCTTGCTGCCCTGATGGACAGTGACTGCATTGGGGTATGGGTGGGGACTTGGTAATATGGATGAATGTAGTAACCACATTGCTTTTTTCATGTGAAACCTTCATAAGAGTGTATATCAATCATACCTTAACAAAAAATTTTTTTAAAAAAGAAATAAAAAGTTTTCTATTGGGGTCAAATTACTGAGGCATTGCTTATAATCCCTTCCCTTGTGAATGCTGACCTCTGCTTAATAACCTCTCCCCCTATACAGTCCTAATATAGCTGAGGGCAAACCCCAAGGAAAGGAAGGGAATTAACCAACAGTGGAGCCCAACAGGGTGAAATGGGTTGTATGAGGGGCTTTAGTGATGTTTTCTTATTTAGGTCTCCCAACCTTTCTTGGAGATAGGTAATAATTTTACTTGCCATTTCATCATCTCTAACCTGGATTACTACAATAGTTTTCTAAATGGTCTCTCTGTTCCACCCCTATCCCTATCACCCAATCTATGCTCCACACAGCAGAGTAATTTATTTTTAAATTTTTAAATCAGAAATAGTATCAGCTCAGAAATCTCCAATGACTTACCATCTCACTTAGAATTAAATTCAAAACCCTACAATGCTGGTGGGAAGGCCCATCAAGTCTTCCATGATCTTACTACTACCTCTCAGACTTTATCTTCTAACCTCCCCTGCCCCTCTTGCTGACTCTACTTTCAGCCACAGTGGCCTCCTTGCAGCTCCTCCAATAAATCAAGCACCCTCCCACCTCTGAACCTTGGACTTCATCTTGGGTAGCTGAGATACCATGATGATGGAGGTACAAAAAACATATCCACTCAGCTGTCTTGCAGAAATACTCTGTACTTTTTGGAAGGAACCAATCTATGAATGATCACCGTAATCTCTGATATGCCTATTAAATCTTGATGCTTGCAACAGAGAAGAGATGCGTGGGGGCTGTGGATCTTAAGGGCTGACTGTAACACACTGTCCCCCGCTGCCCAAACCACAACTCTGGATTTTAATAGGAAGAACAGAATTAAACCAGCTAAACTGTGACAAAGAGGCTTTAGTGGATTTACTGACAGCGAACAAAGGAATAAAAATTAGAGGTTAATTCTATAAACACTCCAGAAAGTCAATTTTTAGTTTGAGCAGGAGGGAGGGAATGCATAAGAAAGAGCAGAGCTTGGGGCCCTCCAAGATTATGTCCCCACCCAGCAAATACAGAATACTCTTGAGCTCTCTCTGGCATCATCTTGGCTGCCAAAAGCACAACCCCTAATTTGTGACCCTTTCTTTAGGAGTTCAGGAAACTCTGCCATCCTTTCCAAAAGACTGCCAGTTTCACTGAAGTAGTCAAAAATCAGATTCTGCTAGGGCAGGGAAGGCAGGGAATATAGCAAGGTCATAAGGGTTGTGATGAAACAGAAAAGAAGCAACTTCCTTCTACAACCCATTCTAGAAAGCAGGAATACACAGCATAAAGCACTCCTCTCTGGAGGCCTGGCAACAGAGCACAAGCCTTTTTATTTTATAAAACTTCAAACCACCCACACATTTTGATTACCATCTGGGTTTTTCTTAAACATAAATTCCAATATAATTTAACAGCTAATATTTCCACAAGCACAATTAGACACAGAAATTAACACAAGCACTACTTCTGAAAGGGCCTCAAAATTCAAGTCCTGACTTCTAATCAGAATCAAGTAGTAAGTAACCTGGAGCTCAGGCCAAGTAAGCTGCAGACATAACAGAGAAAGAAAAAAGAGGTCCTTGGCACAGCCTCTGTGAGCTCTCAGCCAGCTTTCCTGCTGCCAGCTGGTCTGCTCCCTAAGCAGGGGGACTTCAGATCACAGTGAGAACAAAACTGAGGTGTTCCTTCCAACTCTCTGGGGACTTTTGCACACATGCTAACATCTCCTAGACTACCTCCAATTAAAGAACAAAACCCCTACCCCCACTGGGAAAGTTCAAAAGTACTTTCATTTGTGCCCCCACCGCCTGTGTCAGAAGTCTGATAGAGGTTCTATTAGAGCTGTGATGTCACACCCTCTGCTTTCCAGGGTGGCATCTGACATGGGGCCATCTCTGCCCTAGGGTGGGTGGTCTGGGCCCAGCAAGAAAACAACAGTTGTGTCTGTCTGCCAATCCCTACCTATGCTTAAGACACTGAAGGGTAGGGAAAGACGAAGAGGAAGACAACTCTTCACGTTTCAGGAGGGGGAGAAAAGAGAGTACTCGGCAAAGGAATTTTTACTCAGGGTGGAGGGTGAAGTGATCTACAGTGATCACCTCCCAGCACAGTCTCACCACCTACAATCTAGTGCCTTCCAGTACTCTCCTGCTTTCCTTTCCAGCCCTTCAAACTCCACCTTCAAAAAAGACCCCCTACACCCCAGAAAGGCTGAACCCAATTTCTGATTCATGCTGTGGTTCATATATTTAAATCTGCCACTTACGAACTTTGATTAAAAGGCTAAATTGAGAGCAGCGTCATCTCTGAGACCCCAGGCAAAGAAAGAAAATATTATGCCTCTTGTTATTTGACTCCACTTTAAAAACTACATCCAACAGTGAAATCCTGAGTATCATGCATCTTAAGAGAATACAATTAATACTGAGAAACTACCTTAATTAAATGAATCATCACTGTATCTGATTAAGCCTCCTTCTCATCCATGAGCTAAGAAACTTATTTAAAAAGACTATTTTTTGATAAGGGAGAAAAAAGTGTTATCCTACTGCTACCTGTTCCTTACTCCTGGGGTCCAAGAAATTATGTTAAAACCTAAGGGAGACACCAAACACTGCT